TCGCGCTATTATGACCGCTTTTCCGAGTCAAATTAAACCAAGTAAAACCGATTGTTTCGGCTCGGGTTTTCGCTGTCAACGTCGTGGCGGTGACAAATGTTTGTAAAAGTACTGAAGATTTTCGGAAAGAGGCATTCGTCTTAGAGCTGGTGAAAAAAGTACACCGTTAAGACGGATCGGAAACAATAAAGCACTGACCGGAACAATAGACAAATTATTTTTTCTTTTCTTGTGTTGTCTAAAGGATGGACTTTGGACGAACAAGTGTTGCCAAACCATCTCCGGACGAGATTGACCATTGTTTTAGCCAATTCCGAATAAAAGGACCAGCTACGACGATGATGGTGGCAAATACCGTCGCCCTTGAGCGAGTCCGGATAACAATCGCTATTAGGAGTCGATGGTTTGCAGCCAGACACAAGTACAGTTTTACATAACGGACCCGGAGCGTTCGTGATGCCACCGTGTCTTTTTAAATGGGTTTTTTGTTATTGTTATTAATTTTTTTCCCCTGTACATTAACGGCAAGACACGGCCGGAAGCCGGCCTAATGATCCGAATCGTCGCGTGGACGCACGCATGTCTATGTTTGGGTTTAATGACCAAAATAAACTCTCGGTGATCCCAACCAACCCCGACCAATTTCTGTCTGATCATTGAATTCGGTGTAATTGTTATTGCATAAAGGACAACGGGTTTTCTATTGTTACAGTCTAAAGATCTATAATTTTTTTTAAAACGAAGAAACAACCGGTTTTTTTATGTGGTCACTGAAGAAACTGCATTTGAAACTTATAGACTTGACGCCAACTAGATGGGAAAAACGCACACACAACAAGACACTTTTCGGTTTTCTCGTTTTAACTCACTCATTTATTAATATTATTATTTATTAAGTAACATTAAAAAAGCAATCAGTACAGATAATATACATTATTTTGGTAATATGGGAGCAATATACCAATATGAGTGCTACATAATTTAATTCGTATAGCTAATAAATTAATTATAAAGTTAAAACGACTTGTTCTTCAACATGGTTAAAGTACCACGATGGAAATAAAAAAATTATAAAGAATTACAGGAGAGTGACATACGATTTAACGGTCAGTTATGACTGTAATTTGGCCTTTAAGTGAGTAATTAAAACATAGATGGTGGAACATCACAAGATACTCGTTGAATAAGGAATATTTAACTAATAAGTTAACATATGTAAAAATCTTTTCGGTATGGGTTGTATATTATAGTTTAACCCACTTTGAAATGGAAACCAAACAATGGATGCATACTCCAGGATAGACCTAACTAAAGCAGAGTATAATGCTTTTAAGCCATAGCACGTGTATGATATTATAACATGATAATTGGCAAATACAATTTAAGGTCGTCAGCAAGCAGAAGGTAATTACAATTTGTGAACAGTTACCGCATAATTATATTTTATTCTAAACGTTTATCGTTGTAAAAAAGTTTACCTAAACGTCTTGCTTAGGACGAATAGATGAACGCAGACCAAAAGGGGATAACGACCCAAGCCAAAGACCTGGCGTTTAATCGTGCGGCGACGGTATCAATAGTCTCGCTGGCATTAACGGACTCTACTTGTGAAATATTTTAAGACATTATCCTTCACGGTCGAGTACACCTGGCTTGTAGTATAATTCTGGGTTACCGAAGAAACGACGTGTACCGTTGACCATACGATCTAGAAATTGGCACTTTGCGATTAGCGTTCGGTCGGATTATTATTAGAGACGTTCGTTCTTGTATTCACATTTTTATGTGTGTCATCAGATCAAAGAGACATTCAATATTTAAATAACGACAACAGTAATAATAAACTGGATACCATCGGTTATAACGTGACTATAACTATATCGACAATCCGCAATGGGTTAACTATGATCCAGTAAACGTAATAAAAAATATTGCATTTTTTTAATAATCATTATTTGTTCATGTTTGAACACTTTATACCTAACCTAACATAACCTATCCCTTCTATGCTGAACCCTGTAAACTTGTCATGTTTTAAATAATAATCTACTTACTATCTTAGCATTTTTAATTGAGAATAATTTGCTGAACGTTTCGACTGGTCGATTACCAGTTTAAAATTTAGGACTGGAGTGGAGTGCGGACGGGTGATGTACACAAATAAAAACACTACTCAAACGGATTGCATGCGGTCTGTTTTTAAGGAGTTTCGTGTAGGCAATAATTAAGAAAACAGTGGTTTTAATCAATTTCGACCATGTCAATTAATTTTCCGGTCAATTTTTATAAGCTTCGAGGTATTATTATTAATTTGTACAATTTTTTCTTTGTGTAAAAGTCATTTTGGCTTATTTTTTTTACCAAAAGTCTATCCTAACCTATCCTGACCAAACCTAACCTAACCGACCCTAACCTAACCTAACCTAACCTAACCATTCTAAGTAATCTAAATTTTGTCTGGCTTTTTTAGTGTAAAACATAAAATAAGACAGTCCGCATGAAAACCCTTTAATTCCACACTTTCCCCCGTCAAACATTTAAACTCTAATGACTTCAGGGGTAATTTATCATAATTGGCTATCGACCGGTCGAAATTTGCTTAGCTTAAGTTCATAAAATATAGATATAAGATCACAAAAGAGAAGAGGGTTGTATTTAATATGAACATTGGCAGAACTATAGTAGTATAAAAAATTAATAATTTTAATAATAGCTTCTAAGATGTTGACTGGGTCATAGTTAACCGAACCGCAGGCGATACCGCCTGCATTACCCGATGTTGTCTGTAGAAAACGTTCGGTTGTAAAGTGATTGCTTAATTCGCTTTTGAGATTTTAATTTTTTATCAACACCTACCGAAATTCGGCGGCGGGTTCGAAAATATTATTATACACACACATACATAATTACTTAATTTGTTGTGTTTCGTCAAACCGGTAGAACTCGTTTACAGATAAAACTTTTACGGTTCGATGCTCTATACGAGTGTGTGGATGTTTTTACTTTTAATAATTTCCAATACGGTTTATATAACAACAACAACAATAAAACTGATATCGTAATAAAAATATGTTCGAGTATTGTCCATATTTTTTGATCAAGCAGAATTTAATTTATAACACTTTAACCGTTCACAATTCTATCCGTCTAACGGAAATTAGATATAGTTTTAAACAATTTCGAATGAAAATTGATAACATTTTACAGTGATATTTATTTTATACGGTCTTGGTATTTTCTGAATAATAGAAATGTAATAATTATCTATGAAATATGTCCAACACGCCCAAAAAAAAAAAAAAAATTATAATTATATATAATTTTTTTTTTTGTAAAAAGAAAATATTTGCAATTCTAAATTGCTATGTATGTGATTGCGTGTGATTGGATTTGGAACTAATTTGAATTCTGCCAACAGTGTAGTTGTATACAGAAAAACGTAACAAGTTCATTGCAGACAAAACGATCGCGAGATATTTGCTTTCCCTCTGATTTTTTAAAATTTTCTTATCCTTATTAAAAAAAAAAAAAAATTAAATAATACAATTTCTCACGGACAAAATATTAGAGCGTTTCTGATATTTTCTAAATTGTTTAAAACAACTTTATCAAAAACCGTCAGTAGCTATACATATGCACAACCCAACTTGATTGAAACGGTGGACTTTTCATTATAAAAAATTCATAATAAATGAAAATATTAAAATTAATACACATCATAAGTTGGGTCACGTTTACTGACATAATTTTCAGCGTTAAAATCCCAAAAAGAGAACTAAATAAAAATAAAAAAAGTTCACCCATTTTGGGATGGCAGAGGGATTTTGATACTTTTTAGTTTGTCCATATAAATTTCAACTAACTAACTAACTTTAAAACAATTATAACGTGCTGTAATTTTAAGTTAAAAAATATGTACATAATATCCAGGCATAAAAAATAAAAAACAATAAAAAAATATCATTGTATAAAAACGCAATACCTTTTCAGCTCTGAATAGAAGATAAAAATCGGTTAATTTTTGGATCGGAAAAATAATTGTGCCCTTCAAAGGTGAAATGGTGTATTTGAAATCAATTATACATATTTATATAATAATATTATGTTGAATATAATATTATGAAACCACAAATATCAAAAAAAATTTACATACACCACTTTGCATTTGAAGCCACATGGCTGATTTAGGGCCCTGCAAAGTATTCGGCCACACATTTTGGAGGGGTGGCAAAATCAAATTTAAATTAAAATTTTATTGAATATTTATGTTGTTTTATGTAGTAAAAGTACTTAATTTTTTTTTGTTAAATTTTTCTTTAAGATATATGACATTTACGAATATTGCAATGTTAGGTGTTAAATTTAGATCTTAAATGGTAGTTTTATTAAAAGTTTAATTATATTGACCCGAGTATTCGACACATTATGTGTCGTTCATTGTAAAAGCGAATTATCTCCATGTAATTGATAAAATTTGAGATAACGACCTTTTTGTAAATTTATGTGTTGGAAAACAAGTACAAGTAGTCATTCAATGTTTTTTTTATTTACGTTTTTTGGAGTTGCTTCTCTTTTATAATGAAATGTGATTTCATTAGACGAAAATATGTATATTTTTAAAAAACTGGAGTTACACCGCCTAAAGTATTTATTTTTTTGTACATTTTTACTTAATCAAAATAAAATATGGTAGGTAACATGTATTAAAATCTGAACGTTTTTTGTTTATATTTGTATTTTATAGTTAATATTTTTATACCTATATATAATGTATTTTATTTTATATTTTTATTACATGATTAATATTTGTTTGTATTTAAAATATAATTATGGACATTTTTTTTGAACGGTATATTTCAGGACAGGAGCGGCAAATTTTGTGGGGGCGGCAAATCGGTAAATCCGCCCTCTGTCCCGGGGGGGGGGGGGTTCCAATTTACCATCCCCTCAGAGGGATCGTGTACACACACACAATATGATGCACAGCATCGATCACTAACCTGACAACAACAGTGTGGGGGCGCGTCTCGATGACCACGTCATGTTCCAAAAGCGTGTCCCCGGCTGAGCAGTGCTGGTGGCGCGGACGATTGCGGACAACGCACATAACCAAACGTACGAACCGGGAGAGCGGACCGTGAGTATTTCGGGGCCCGCGGATACTGCGGCACTGCGACTGCGGCGACGGCGGTCGATTGATCCGTGGCGTTCGCGGCCGCGACCGTCGTCGAGTCGTGGGAGTACCGCCGGTGGATGGCGGGGCACGGGAGAGAAAGAAAGAAACAAGAGACGAGGCTCTCCCGTGTATGTGTGTGTGTGTGTGTGTGTTGTTACAATGTCTGCCCAGAAGAAAGTGAATCCGTGCACGACCGTGGGCAAGGACGCCTAAGGTGACGTCACACACACACACACACACACACATACCCACACGGGTAGGTTTATAATATTATAATGTACTCATTGTAATTATATGGGTACAACCTACTCACGTTGTGTTCACGAGGATGCCCGGGTAAGATTTTTAAGAAGGTAAATCAGTTTGTAAGGCCAAACTGAACGGAGAATGAGTGTAGCGAAGACGAGAATGCTAAGGCTAGGTAGGATGGAATGAGAAATGAAAACACAAGAGGGAGTCTGCAAGTCGTGCATCAGTTGTGGGCAGAATAGGTTGGTGAGATAGCTCGGTCATGTTAAGAGAAGAGACGAGGCAGTGAGAGGTGTGTTGAAGATGAATGTAGAGCGAAAGAGAGGAAGACAAGATAGCAATAGAAAATAACAAAAGGATAGCTGGGGTGATTGAACATTGAGATGTAGAAGATCAAGCTCTACGGGTAGGTTTATAATATAAAATGTACTTATTGTAATTATACGGGTACAACCTACTTGTCGTGTTCAGGAGGATGCCCGGGTAAGATTTTTAAGAAGGTAAATCAGTTTGTAAGGCCAACAGTGAGGCCAGCAATGTTATATGGGTAGCGAAGAAACACAAGGGGGAGTCTGCAAGTCGTGCGTCAATTGTGGGCAGAATAGGTTGAGATAGCTGGGTCATGTTAAGTTGGATGTAGAGCGAAAGAGAGAAAGACAAGATAGCAATAGAAAATGATAAAAGGATAGCTGGGGTGATTAAACATTGAGATGTAGAAGATCAAGCTCTACGTACTAGGACTAGGATGGCCGAAATGAGAAAGCAACGGATTCCTGGAACCTATTCATATTGTAGGAATAAGGATGGGGCCTAAGTATGATAAGTGTTGTTCATTTGTTCATAATATACCACAACTAGTTTGTGTGAATGATTACAAAAGATTTCATCCAAATCTCAAACTAATTCCAACTCTTGAAATGATTGGCCCAATAAGTAATAGGTACGATTTTTGATCGATAAACTTGTTACTTGAAAGAATCCGTTCAGCGGTTTCGAAGTTACTATGGGTTAGGTCACAAAAAATAATGTTTTTAAATAAATAATAAAAAACAATAGTACCTTCTTAGCACCGCGTCGTTTTCTTCCTTGAAAATTAAATTTTTAACAAAATTAATTTTTTGCTAATTAACTACTTTTAACCTTGGAAATTATTGTTATTTTTTTTAACTTGACATAATGTACTTGTAATAGGATAGGTTTTTGTAAACAATCAGCTTTCTACATTATGATGTATACCTACTCTGAAACTAATCGTACAAAAGCATTTTAAAACCTTGCCGAAACCCTTCGCAACCGGCTTATTAGGTTTTTCTATTCGTGCATCAGGCAATGACAAGATTATGCCATTGGTGGCTATTTTTTTTTGGTCTATTGTTTAATTAAATTTTTCTTTTTATCTAATGTTTTGCTGCACGATTGTTTTATGGAGAAAAAAATAGTAATTACAACGTTAAAACGTTTGTCACGACATCAACAGGTTTGAAGGGTACTTTTTTCTGTTTTGCTTGAACATGTTTAGATGAAAAACAATGTTTTAAATCGTTGTCGAGTATACCGCAATAGTCTGAAAAATAAATAAATTATCAATAAAAAGTCCTAATTACAGAACTAATAAATGCACATCGCGTCATCATGTTATTTTAATAAAATTACTAAATATTTACCCCTTTTTTTAGTACTTTCCAGAGCTCTATGAACTTTTAAAGCTTGTGTATATATTTAATTAACTATTTAAATTAAGAATAACTAGGTGAAAAAATTTGGATATACTTTGAAAAGTCCAGCATGGTTTTAGTAAATAAAATAATAGGAAAATTAAAAATAATATGCACTCGAGCTCATTAACTGTATAAAAAGAGAAACTTGAAAAATTGTATCATACACAAAAGTACATAAATTATAGGGTTTTATGATCATTAAACAATATAATATTTTATAAGCTACATAAAACATATCATACAAACCGAGTAATACAATTATTACTGTAAAAAAATATAAACGAATTCTTGGATATGTATATGTTACTTTCAATGTTAAATTACATAATGCTAACAACGAAACTAGTAATTTTAACTAAATCACCAGCTATGGCGTGCCGTTGGCCCACAAGGTCTTATGGATTATGTTGTTTATATAAAAAAAAAAATACAACTTTTGTGAGATGTCTTTAAAAAAAAAATATATTAAAAAAACCTACACCTACTTTCCATTTGCCTACCGTTATGTCATGGATTCCTGTCCGACAATTATTTTCTCTCAATTACATATAATATACCTACCTAATAACATCTGTAGGTATAGTGAAAAATTGAAAATCACATTTATATTTTATTTTTATTTTGTCGAACGATTAGTGTAAAATCTTAAAGTATCTAATTTGTATTTTTAATTGTCGTTTATGGCACCACCTATGTTGTTCTGGTGTAGTCCATAAGGTTCACAAAATAGATAGTGAAACGATTACCCGAAAGAAAGTTTTTTTTCATGTTTGCGTTTATATCATATTAAAATATACAGAAACATAACAGTAACTGTTAGCATTAAATTATTACCTACCTACCTACTACCGGTAATTATAGAAATCATTTTTTTTTTTTTATATAACAACTTATAATTGCGCATAATTACAAATTTTCGATCGTTTATTTATTTTATTTTTCTTCAAATTAATTGAACATAAATTTAACCGTTTATTTATGAGTAGTTTTAACGAGCGGTTAAAACGTTTGACTTTTGCTAATTATTTATATTTTTCCCGTTTCAGTTGTTTTTACAACATAACTCGATGGGTTTCTATTGGGATTTATTCTGTTGGCCGTCCGAGTAGTTCCAAAATGATATGGAATATTCTCTAGATAAAGTGTACTGTATCGATAAACGTTGACAAACCATATCACAATGTTGTATTCATTGTGAAAATTTATATAAACCGAAACGTTAAAAGAAAGTAAAATAATAACAAACTGACAAATTAAATGATACAATCACTTATCAGCTGTTATCACATACCTTGTTAACCAATGATAACGTTGGATCCGAGGTAACCACACTTTGGTAACCCAACTAACGTTTTGTTAACTTAACAAATAGAATTTAACAATAATTATGTTACGGTGAAACTTATTTCATTTAACCAGATGTTAAATTTAAATTGATTGTTAACTAACATTGTATGAAGAGTGTATTTAACAATAGTTGGTGAAAATATGTTTCAATGTTTTGCATATTTCAGTGTACATTTTGTCCGTTTTAAGTACATAAATGTGTATATTTTTCAAGTGTTTTTTAGTCTGTTCAATTCACAACTCTGAGAACTTTAATAGAATCGAAAACTTCAGTTGCAAAACTGTAACAAAAATCTAACTAAAGTAAACTTGATTAAAATAGACAACGTTTGGTGGTGAAACGTCGACTTGTCATGACGGATCTGCTAATGATTTTCATTTTTCTTTAGTGTATTTTTCTATAGAGAGCATACTTAGCAGGTCATGTTTATCCGTCCAAAAATTTGGCAGCTCTTAAAATAATGTACTCTAGCACACAATATTTTGAAGTGTGCGCTTTGTCGAATGTAAAAATTCTCATCTCAAGTGTGCTTGTATACACTTTTTAAAATGATTTACTCATCGCTCATACAAATCACCAAATTATTAGCAAACATTCTTTGTTGGTTGTTTTCTTTTTCACATACTCCAAACATTCAATACACAATGTATATACTTACATAGGATTTAGTTTTCATTTTAAAAGTTTATCACTTAACATCTTAGCGTTTGAGTCATTATTTCAAACGGTAAGGCGATAAAAATACCACAAACTACCGGATTTTCATATTTTTTTTTTTATCTAAAAACAAAGTTTATAACGTATTATTATTGTTTTAGTTGCAAACTACGTTTTAATTTCCAGACGCGTTATTTCTTCTTATTATTATTATTAGTATTATTTGTATAGTTCTATTATAATTATTATAGTATACTATAACCGGTTGTCGAGTGAAATGCTTTCAAGCGGATTTTGTAACATGATTTTTTTTTATTTTTGTAAAATGAAAAGAGTTTTGTTTTTTTTTTCGACGACCCACGCCAATAAAAAATAATCGAGAACGCATTATAATAACCATTCAATTACAATGCTGTTTATTATTTTTATTTTTTTTTTCAACTAGAAACTGCGAAATTCATAATAGGCAGGTATCGTTTTAAACATTACCACTATGCATGCACTTATGTGCACAACATGATAGTATTACTTGTTGCTATTATATAGTCATGACTATTGGAAATCGAATATTAACAAGATAGGTACTGTAGAGTTAAAAAAAAAAAAATATAAGAAGAAACAATTGTGATAAAATCGTGAAGAAGTAAAATATCACACAACTGTACTATGATAATTTATTCTTGGCAATAAAATATATTATACCTATTGTCATGCACGTTGTACTCGAGAAGAACAACTACTAGAGTACACTGAACGATTGAAATATTGTATTTAATTTATTTTTCCATTGCTTAGGTGGATAACAGTGTTGGGAAAACAAATTTCTTCTCTAACCGATGATGTATAGATATCCTACAACCAATTAAAACTGATAAACTTTAATGCAGGAAAATAGTATGTAATGACTAATGTATATGAATGTATTACTATAGTTAATTATGTTTTTTTTTTTTTGTTCAAGGTATAGTAGGTATACAGCTAAGTATACCCATTTGCAGCCCCAGGACAAGCGTGTAAGTGTATATTTTATAACACAAACTTATTATAAATAAATTACATTTATATGATTATATGGAGACACTCTTCTTCCAGTCTTAAACTCCAAAATAATTAACCAAAACTGTTTATCGACCGGTAAAAAATGTTTGGCAAATTATTTTACTTTTAAAAACTAATTAAATATAATATACTGCCAGCTTTCAAAAGAGGATAGCGCTCTGGAAAATACTAAAAAAAAAAAAAAAAGGTAGGTAATCTTATAATTTGTAGACACAAACCTTTAATGTTATTTTCTAGAGAAAATCGGTGTCTCGCATGTTAAATCGACCACCCTGTACACTATTACATAATTCATACGGCGACATTAGAAAAAAAAAGTGTATCCAAGTGTAACTCCAATCTGTAATATATATCTGTTAATATTATTCAAAAATATCCTTTTTACTCTGCGTTGCTCGTACATGACCTTGTAGTACAACCCTTATAATGTCCGTGTCGAGAATGCCCCAAGTAGAGGTACCTCTACCTGTTTTTAAAGGAGACTAACCTGTCAGCTAAGCCATTGTTCTTGAACGTATACAGGGTGAGAGAGAGGATTAAGTACTAGACACGTGTTTTTTCTTGAAATATTTCACATCCTATGCAATTAATTAACTTCCTGAAGATGTTGACTGGTCGACCAGCCAGTTGTGAATAATTGCTGATTTGATGAGTACAGCAAAAAAATGTTCTTGACCTAAAAATACTGTTATGTGTCTATACGTTTCCATTAAAGGTTCGAACGTTGAACAAAAGGCAAACATTTGAATGCTATGTAGTATTGTAAAACACCACAAGACTAAAGGGTTTCCATAAAGAAAAACTACAAAATTATGGCTATTTTAAGGGGAAAACCTGCGTTTTGTCCTAAACGTATCACCCTGTATATATATTTTTTATAAACCAAAATATGTAACTTCTTTGTTTTGTTATCCACCCTCTTCGGGGGTTCAGTAGATGAGCGACGGCTCTCTCGAACAACAGCTGATGAATCATTATAATATTGTACAGTAACTCGAAAACGTATTTATTATAAATATTAACACAAGGATATTATAAAAAAAAAAAAAATTAAAAAAATACTCGAGGTATTAAAAAATACAAACTTTACATCTTATACCGATACACAAAATATATAAATATACATTCGACGTTCTAATAACAGCACAGTCTTTTGGTGCACGCGATTAACGCGTGATTAGCACAATATTATGTAGTTTACTTTCTTTCTTCGTTCCTGAAATAGAAAAAAAAAAAAAATAATTAGGTTTACTTAACAGCACAACTCGAGTGGAAATCACAGACACAGAGTTTTATTTAAACACTGTTACAATATTATAAGATTTAGATACAGAAAATATTAGTATAGGTAAAAGGTCGACATAAAATAAATACTTTCTTCTGATCAATTCAGGGGGTCGCAATAAGTAAGATATTATGAAGTAAGCAAAAGGGCGAGGTACAGTGTGACCAGAATGGCGAAATTATATTTATCTGGTAAATCGTTATAATTAGTTTCTTCACTACTGCAACCATGCGATACAAAACATTGGCATTAATATTATCATACGAAATTTTAATTTATCTATTAACCATTATAGCCGATAAGAATTAGACGGTTCGGTGTTTAACAACCTATAGAAAAAGTATTTATTTTTATTTTAAGTGGTCACACTGTCGCTCGTCGTTTTGATTACATCGTTGCTGAGTAGGTACATGTTATTATAACACATGTTAAAACTATGGCAGTGTTTTATTTTATTTTTAATTTGTTGAATGTTAAAAATTAAATTGCCATTATGCTCAAGCTAATCAGTAATAATACATTATATATTATTAATAAATTTGTCTTGAATTTTATAAAATATCCACTTAACTAATATAAAAAATAAATTACCCAACTAAATATAAATTAATTTCTTTTGTCGTTGACAATATCAGAATTATTTAACTTCTCTAAAAGAAAACTAGAAAATGTCTTTTAGATATACCTAAACATTTTTCTAATATTCAAAAACTCTACATCGTTTAAATATTTAGTTAGTTTACACACAAATTCGGTGTGTATGCAAGTTCTGATCAGCGTTTTTTCCATCCGTCGGTTCCATTTATATTTAAATTCAAGTACCTTACGTTTGGATATCAGTGTTTAAATAATAACAAGTATAGGATATCAACTGCCAGATAAATCATAAAAATCCCCATTCCCATCCCTTTACAACAGCTTGCAAACGAGTCCGCAACCACGGGAGACATTTTATCTCTTATCTTCTTATCTCTTACTCTCTATCTTATCAGATAAATCATCAGAAATTTTCGTTAGGTTTTTAACCGTCGATTTTTCCGGTTGTGTGCCAATAAAAAGACATAAAATGTCAACAAAGGTATTTATGGTGCCCTTAAACTCTTGACAATATATAATATTTACCTTCTGTTATCGGATATCCAAGCGTTGTGTTCGTTCACTGGTGTGTAAATCAACGACCCTACGCCAACGCCCGTTTGTACACCGGCTAGTATGCCGTTACACCAAAGTCCACTTCCGAGATGACCTTCCTTCTGCAAATACACACAAATAGGTCAGAAATCGACAATATTGTTTTATTAAAAACGAAAGCGATTTAACAATGATTAGATTAATCAATTTTAAATAATCATATAATAATTACAAAATCTCTATGAAGTTATAAAATATAATTGAAAAAAAAAACTCTGATCTACTTTAAGTACAGCAAAGGTATAAACGTATATTTTTTAATATTTAAATTAGTTTCAAATTTGTTTGAACAAGTCTCTTTTTACTTTTAAACACATCTATGCCCTTACAATGATTTCTATAGATATTTCTTTAGGATAATTGTCTTATACGTTATAATTTTCCTAACACAATAAACATTTACATAATAATAACGTTTAACTCGGAGGATCACAATAAATCAAATAATATGAAGTAAGCAATAAGGCGAGCTGCAGTGTGACCAGAATGTCGAAATTGCATTTGTCTGGTATATACTTTTTTTTTAATTTGCTTCTTTTTTGCAACCATGCGATAAAAACATCATCATACGACATTCTAATTTATCTATTAATCTTTATAGTCGATAGGAATTGAACGGTTCAGTGTTTGCCAACCTATAAAAAAACATTTAATTTTTTTTCATTTAAAGTGGTCACACTGTCGCTGGCCTTTTCGATTACTTCGTTGCCGAGTACAAGACATTTTATTATGACGTTACAGCTGTGTATTATATATATTTTTATTCTATGATTTAATTATAACTCAAGAACATTACGGCTGTGGTAGATACCAAAAACTAGCACGGACTCACGTTATATTGCATTCTCCACCGGTTGCACGGCAACACGTAGTAATGGCTGTTGATGAATTTTTTCATTTGCAATCGATCTTCGCAGTTTTCGGCTAAAAACATAATTATTCTATTGTATTCTATGGGGGTTTCCCTCTACCGTTAAACTGCCGATTCTGATTTGTCTCTATTACCGTTTTTCACCGTGTTCTTGACGATTGTGCCTTGGAAATTTTTACACATTTGAGTGGTGACGTTACTCCTCTGCAAGCACGGCGAACAACCTCCGTCCAATATCGGTACCGTCAGACTTACCAGAGCTGCAATAAAAAAATAACTTTGAACAATTTTGCCGGCCGCGGAGATCGGTGATAGACCTTACCCAAGTCGTTGTGGTCAGGAGCATTTTTAATGGCCGGCGATTTGAAGTCTTCGTGCACCAATATATTCGATATACCAAGACCTTGCACGCCAGTTGAGCTTTTGCGGCTGACTAAAACTTTTCTCATATCCGCCTTGTGTATCCTGTACGACACAAGTTGAAGTGTAGAGTAACAGTGAAAACAAAATTATTCTATCGGAGAATCTATCTTCCTCAATGTAAAGTTATCTAAAGCCATTTACATCTTTACAACTTTTTTTCAAAATATTTTAAGGAACCTCTGATCAGGTCAAAGAAAATTAGCCTGTCATCTGATTGGATCTCATAGTTCGTCAACTTTTTAGCTTTCTTAACGTCGTTCCTTATTGAAAAGCTCTTAAATTAAACAAAAAAAATGATAGGCGTTGAGCAAAGTAGCAAGACAAAAATTCGAAAAGATAATTTTTTTAACGTTTCCCAAGATTAAACTTTTAAAATATCGTTTCAAGTTTAGTACAATATTATGTAAGATATTATGAAGTAAGCGAAAAGACGAGCTTCAGTGTGACCACAATGACGAAATATCAATTCTCTAGTACATATTGTTTTAAATTTGTTTCACTACTTATCACATTATCATATAGAATTTGAATTTATCTATTGATCTGTGTGGCTGATAACGATTATACTGCACAGTGTTTAACTACTAATGAAAAAGTTATTGTTTTTATTCAATGTGGTCACACTGTCGCTCGCCTTTTAGATGACTTAGTTGATGAGTATAGTATGTTATCATAACAGTATGACGTTAAAACTCAATCAGCCGGTTTCACCAAGTATTAGTAAATACACTCTTAACATAATGTTAGTTAACAGTTCATTTGAATTTAACATCTGGTTAAATTAAGCAAGTTTCACCATAACAATATTATTATTAAATTCCATTTGTTAAGTTAACAAAATGTTAGTTGAGTTACCAAAGCGGTTACCTCGATTCCAACGTTCTCATTGGTTATCACGAAATGTGATAACTGATAAGTGATAATATTATCGTTTTATAATCAAACTTCAATTGGTAATGTATATTTCGATCTGTGGCACTTAGACATGCCAATTAACTTTTTAATAAGCTGATTTCGGCTAATTAACTTAACAAATGTCGGTGAAATCGGCTGTATATATTTTTACCCAATGCTTCGAACCCACTCTGTCGGGTTTCGCTTAAACTTACCTGGAAGCACAAGTGGCCGAGGTAAGTATCCATATGTCGTCTATGAGCGTTCCGTAGCAAATCGGTCTCTTGCCCGTGGCAAACGTGATTTCACTCTTGCACGTTTTCTTGCAAATGTCCTTACCCGCCTTGTACTCGTCTTCGTCCATGGAATCCTCGTCTTGTGCCGTGTCGACGGGTTCGGCTTTTAATTCCAGGTCGGTCACGGTCATTTCCGGTTCCGGTTTTTCGGTTGTCGGCGTTTCCTCTTCCCCGGACGAATCAACGACCACAGCGTCTTCGTTCGTCTCGTCGGCGGCGGCTTCCATCGCCAAATTTTCGGTTCTGCCGTTGTCACTATCCGCGATGGCCGTGCTTTCCTTGTTGGCGCCTTTGTGTTTCAGCTGATTGGCCGTTTCGTTTATGAGCTGTTCCACGATGGTTTTCACCACCGTCTCGATGTGATGCAGTTTTGCCAACTGATCTACGTCCACCTTGGCCGGGTCCACGTCTACTTGCCAAACGTTTCTTATATTCCTGTTGGTGGTGGTGCCGTCAAAAGCCACCGCCGTTTCCCCGTCGATTGCCGGCACGGCTACGGTGGTCCTGTTGTTGAACTTGCAGCAAGAAAAAGAGGCGCTTGGTGTGAACGCGCGCTTAAGTCCTTCGCAGTGTCCGGTCGAATCCGGTAAGAAATCGTCGTCAGTCGTGCAGTCCGGTCCCAAAAGACAATAACCGCTGTTGTTACCGCAAGTTTTCACGCCAGATATGACGAACAGTCCTGAAACGAATGGGTAAGTAAACATATGTGAAATATCGTCGCTCAAAACGCAACACCTATCGTAATATCTCGTGTTTTGGCCAAATCAAGTTGGCCACACTGTTGGCACGACTGGCGGGCTCGGATTTGTGATAAGGTCAATTGATAACGCTATATTAGAATAACTGATTGATAATATTTTTTTTGAACGGTAGGTAATTGAATCTGATTTTGTTGCTCTACCGAAAAGCCGAGACAAATGAGATAAGCGGCGTTGCATCTTAAGCAAAGGAATATAAAAATCCAGCATGATGAATTATCATTACTAAAAGTGATAAAAACTTCAAAAACTGTCAAATAAAGCCTTCCATGTAAATCCGTTATGGTAGATATTATACAAATTTAGATAAAAGCATTGTACCTGATGATTATATTTTCAAATACCTGTTGACTGTTGATTCAATCACACATAGCAACCTAAAAATTTACTACAAAATGTGATTTTTTACCCTTTTTTTTTAGACATGTTTCCTTAATATAAAAAAAGTTTGACTGCAGATTTTTAAGAAAATTAAACATTTTATAGTCCCATTCTAGAATAATTACTTTAGGTCTAGTATTCAGACCTTAAGCCCTAATAAAACGAAATAAAGATAAAGTTTCCACCCCTTTTTTGTTTGTCAATATAGATTTGAACTAACTTGACTGTTTTTTTAGAAAAAGTGCCGCAATTCTAAGTTTGAAAATATGTTGGGTATTTAGAAGTGGAAGGGTGAACTTTTTAAATGGTTGGCCTATTAAGTTACCATTCAGTTATGGTTTTTGTCATTGATAATACCGTGTCTGAATAATACTTCATACAAATTTGAAACTAATCCGAAATTAGCCTGTCGTTCTGTTGGATCTCATAATAATTGGAGATAACTTTTCAATTATCTCAAAGTTAATAGTATAATCTTTGCTATGACACTTACCCGGGTCGACAAGCGGCATACTCATGGAAGCCGGCAACGAGGTGACCAAGCACATCATTTTCAATAGCACAAGCATGGCTACGGTTGCGGCGAAAGCTCTAGAATAAAAAATTAAAGACTTATATAAGATGTACAACAAGACGATTCGGAGCCGCGTGCAGCAGGTAAAGGCCAAGGCGAACAAGTGACAGGTCGGTGAAACGTCTGCGGGCAAAGTGCTGGGTCGTTTTAAAAAAAAAAAAAATACTAAGACAAAACCGAGAAAAAAAATAAATAATCATCGCCGAAGACACACCCGCACGCGGCCGGCATACATATCTTATTAGCATTGGTCTTGGTCTATGCCGTTTGTCTGTTGCGGTCACACGTACCGGTCGAGTACCGTAAGTTTAATTTTATTATTATTGTGTTAATGTAGTGCTCGCGTGGCCAAGTTCTATGACCCAAGACACAACAACGGTTGACCTACAATATTATGTGTGGTGTGTGTATTTGCAAATTGTAGGGCCGAACCGATTTGCATATGTGTGATAGGTATGCACACCGAAGATGACACTAACATTGAACCCGGTCAGGCCTTGTCTGTATTGTACGACTCGTGTGATTGTCATTGAGATGAGTGGCGAAAAACCGGGCGGCGAACAATAAATAAGAGAAGTACAATATGTCTCGCGCACAATGTAATGTATTCCGGTTTTTGTCTTTATGTGTCTTAAGTAGGTATTCGGTTTCCGTGTATATATTATGTTCATGTTAATTATTATTCTTTACCCTCTCAGCGACTTTGTGTCATGTATATAGGACGAAGTCTACTTTTTGTCTTTACATTATGCATATTGGTTTTAATGCAATCCCCTTAAAATTGAATATTGCAAATGAAGTTAAATTCCATTCATGACTATAAAGGTTAAAATGTATTAAAACCTAACTTTTTTTCTTTTTTTTTCCCTTCGTGTAAACCTAACCAAATCTAACTTAACCTAACCTAACCAAACCTAACCAAACCTAACCTAACCTAACTAAACCTAACCAAACCTGACCTGAAAATAAATTAACAAGGTAGACATTTTTGATAACTCTATTTTTCTTAAATATTGCATGTAAAACCCCTTAAAACCTAACCTAACATGGCGATTGTGTTGTACTGTTGAAAAATAAATCCAATTCGGGTTAACCGATTAAAGTATGACAAAATTAATTTTCACAAAGTCTAATAGTTTTTGACTGGATAGCTACTGTCCGATTTTGTTTTAGTATAAAAATGGCACCTATGCTTAAAAAACCGAAATATCCACATGGATTTTTCTAATTGGAAATCGAGTCGGTCAAACACACACGTCGAGATCGAAGAACCTTGTAGGTCAAGGTCTTAAAAAACGTTCCAAATTCCAAATAATTAAAGATTCTTTTGTCCTAAAGAGTACATGCAAAGTGTGCTCTGCATGTTTGTTTCCATTGTTTAACAATATTCATGTCACCTACAAACAGCCAAATGAACATTAAACGGTCCCAAGTTGAGTCATTTAAACTTATTCCTATCAAATTGTCATTTCTATCACTGTGCACTCTTCATGGTAAAATTATTATAATTTCTACAATTGGTAAATGATTGACACGTCTTAATATTGTGCTATAAAATGCACACAAGAACTTGCAACTAAAGTATAGTATTCAAATCTCAAAACAAAGTTAATGAATATGCATATGGCATTTGTGACTTGATCCAAACTCGATGGAATTTTTCACAGAGAACAACATATAGTGATAAAATTGACGATAATACCTGAACCCAAAATTTTGAGTTCTCTTATAGTCGACACCAAAACGTGGCACGAAATTAACGATAATTCAATGTGGTAGTTGATGGGGAAATGAAAACGCAATTATTTACAAAAAGTTGTTGAATTTATGGAAACTTTGGAGACTTTAAGTATGGTAATTTGAAATAAAGTAAACAAGTAAATCTACACCTACCTTTTATCCGACGCCATTGCTGGACGCGTCCACGACAATCTTGGGGACATATTATTTCTACACCAACGGGTTGCCATAATAATATTGATGAATGTTTACCAACAGACTATCGACTGGTTTATAGTAATATTATCGTGATGAACCCCCATTCTTGTTCCGTTCAACTTCCCCTGCCACTTTTACCAATCCATCACAGTTCCAGACGTGCCGGGCGTCTTAAATCCGATTATAATTATTATTATTATACATATTTTGTTGTCCGTGACCGACCTACTAGCGTGTGATTGAAAATTCTAAAGCTGTTTAGTCGATTATCCTAAAAAAAAAAAAAAAAAATACCATCATAGTCTAGTATTCTATCTCGAGTCTAATTTCCAGACCATAAACCCTAAAACTACACTGGAAAAATAGAAATAAAGAAAAAATATCTACCCTGTTGAGTTTGTGGAAAAGCTCTGGAATGCATTAAAAAGGTAATGTATATTTAGTAGTAGTATATAACTATGTAAAATAACAAAAAACAAAAATGTTTTGAAAAAAAACCCACAAAATTTCAATTATTTTAGGAGAAAATGAGTGTCTTGACCTCAATGAAACACCCTCTATGCATTGGCTCCATTCTAGATCTACCTACAATGTAATCAGCAGGCCTGCAGATCTAAAAATTGAAATAAAAAACGTTTCCGACCTTTTAGGGGAAAGAGTTTACGGTATTTGTTAGGTAGGTCAACATTTATAGGTCTAAGTATCTACTGTGTCTGAAGCGTAGTCAATACAATTTTGGTATTAATTACATTTTTGTTTTTCTTAGTTTTAGAGCACCGTTATTTAACGTTAAAACCATAAAGGATTATAAACAATTTGCTTTGTACAGGATATTTTATAAGCCTGACTTTCTGGCCAAAAAGTAATTGTAAAATACTTTCAATAAACATATTTTGAACTTTACATTTATCACAAAAACTTTACACGATTGTGGTTTGTCGGTGGACCTTTTTTTTAATTTTCTCAGTACTTTTTTTTTTGTTACAAAAGCTACCTTAAAGTCGTTGCACTTGGTTGTTTCGCAATGGCAATTTTTTTTTGTAAAGAATAAATTTCAAGTTTAAACCATAGTGTGATACCCCTAGAATGTTTATATTTTTACTAGATTATCATAATCTAGTATTATTGCAGAGTATAGCTGTAGTTTTTATGGTATCAACTTAATGAGTTTAGTATTAGCTAACAAATAGTGGCAAAAATTTATCTATATATATATATATATATACAGAGTGATCCATTAAGGATAAGACACTCGTTTTATTCTTCAAGTAATAGCAATTTTATACTTTTTGGAGACACCTTAGCTTATATTGTCATACTATATTAGACAATTGTCAAATATTTTTCACTAAGTGTCATCAGAAAGCTACAAAATTATCAATAATTATTTCAAAAGAAAACGAGTGTCTTATAACTAACGAAAATAAGATTGATGAATGGTACGATTTTGTGTAATGAATCTCCCTGTATTTATCGTTGTTGTTTCTTTTGGAAAAAATATTTTTTTCTACAAAAAAAATGAACGATCAAGCGGATATGCATGTTCGTTCACGACATAATATTATTATCTCGTGTTCTTTCTACAATATAAATTCACAATAACGTCAATGTTATGCGCGTTATTAAATTCAAGTATCGAAAATAATGTACAAAAAAAAAAATAGTGTATAAATAAATAAATAAATAAATAAACAATAATTTTTAAATCAATTTAGACAAGTTTCACATTGAGTGTTATAATATTTCTGTTGCTGTGGCGATAATCATAAATTGTTGACGCTTATTATCTGGTTGATCCATCCGATGAACGACGACACTTTGACGTACACGCCCGGCACGTCTATTCTGCCGCATCCAAAGCCCCAAGAAACGAGTCCGGCCAATTCGAAAAATCCATCGTCTTGACACACCAAAGGTCCGCCACCGTCTCCCTGTAAAAAGTAAAAAATAGTTTTTGTAATTTGGTATTTTTGTACAAGTAACCATAGAGAAATTAAAGAATAGATTGTGTCGAATAGTACTAAAGTGATCGAATGAGATAACAGGTATTTTATGAGACAACAAGGTTAGTTTTGGAAAGGCAAACGGTAGTAGTTGAAATGATGCGATGGATGACTAATTCAGATAGGAATGTGTAGCTTTGGAAGTTGTGCTGATAGCAGCAGAGTCAATACATTGAGATGAGTTGGGAAAATAGTGAGGAAAGTGATGTGATAATAATTGGTAAAAGAGATCATAGTTTGAGAGGATAAGGCATAAGGAAGTTATCAAACCGTGTAAGAATATACAAGAATAATATTGCCTAACCCACTGGCGGACAGAGAAGAGAGTAGGAATGAAGATTTGCATGGCATTTCAGCTGTTCAAACTGCAAACGGTAATTTATTCCTTCTAAAAACTAAACCTAACCTCACTTAACTGCCTACTTAAAGAGGGCCATACACTAATGACGAAGATTGACTATCATATGTAAGGAATGTCATTGTTGATTGACTATAAACGATATGCACGTGGCATTCATCGGTCATCAATCGAGCTTTCAATCCAGCTGATTGTCATTCCTCGAGTTACCAGGTTAGGTTAGGTTAGGTTAGGTTAGGCTTTACAACCGAGTCGTGTACCTGACAAGCGTCGTTGCCTGATTCTCCGCCAGCGCAAAAGCTACTGGCCGGCAATATGAATATCTTTTCGGTGACCGCGTTGATCTTGCGTATGCACTCGGCGTCGCTGACTACCGGTATCTCGGCCTCCCTAATGCGCAGTGGTATGGGACCGGCCTCGCCCATGTACCCGTAACCGGTGACCGTGCACCGTTTGCCGGCCGCGTGGCTGACGCCCCTGGCCGGCAAGCACACCAGGCACACGCCGTCCTTGAGTTCGGCCTGGCCGTGCAGCTTGAGCAAAGCTATGTCGTTGTCGAGCGTCTGCGAATTGTGGTTGTGGTGGATGTACGTGGTGGCCACACGCAGGGTCTGTGCACCGGGACTTCCGTACTTCCTGGTCAGGTCGTGGTCGCCGACGCGCACGTAGATAGCGTCGCCGGACCGTACGATGCTGGAAAACAAAAAGATCAGTTCAACAATCACACAATGCTGCGGAATCGCGCAACGGGTTATGCCAAACAAACAAATTGCTACCGCCGGAAGTCCGGTCGGTCTCGCGGTCTTAGACCCGTGAAGTGAAAAACAAAGAAACGCGAATTTCGCAACGAGTTATGATAATTTGATAATTTTACAAATGAGTGACAACTGTGTGGAAAGTCACGAACACGATTTAGCGGAATTGCTGTTTGACACGACGTGTAAACTTTAATAAAAAGCTTTCCGTCGTATGAACAAGGGGGTTTTATTAACCGGATTGACTTACTTGGTCACGCAATGAGCGGCCGTCAACACCCATTGGGTGCCTATCAGAGCACCGCCGCACAGGTATTGATTGAGCGAATTGATCAGCGCCACTTGCCAACACCATTCGTTGGCTTCGGCGTCCTCGCCGCCGACCACCTTGGACGTCCTCGTCCTGGCCGTTCCCTTTACGCCGCACACGTACTTGCTGTACGTGGCCGGTTTCGCGGGCACCGGGCTGGACGTGGTCAACGTGGACACCGTCAGGTTGGGCTGGTATTCTTCTGTGCAAACAAAATCGATCATGACAGATTTTCTTGATAAATCTACATTTTTACTTTGGTAGTTGTTTGTTTACTACCGGATACTAACCCAAGGGTGGAGGGTACACTGCCAACGAACTGGGCACGTGGGGTCTGAACGACGACGGAACAGTGTCGTTCCTGTGCGTGTAACCGCCGTAGTTCTGCGGCGTGGACGGCGGTGGTCCGCCGACCATGTGGCTGGCGGCACCTTGGCCAGTTACACCGGTTTTTTGCTCGACCACTTCGCGTATTTGACTTTTGGAAGCGCAACACTGCGTTCCCGGCTTCCGGCATTTGAACACGTCCGTCATTTCGGCGTTTCCTGTGATAAGGAAGTGGAGGACGATTGACGTGACACGTTTAACCGAATATCTTAATAATTGTGTACTTACTGAAGCACGTGAAAGACAAGTAAGGGACAATACATGATCCGGGACACTCGGGCCGGCCGTCGGGTGGCGGCGGCGGCATGGAAGTAGTGGTCGTGGTGGGTGCGGGTGGACGCGGCCTAGGCTTTTGAGCGGCGGCCGGCGGAGCGGCGGCGGCTTTTGTGTTGTCGCAACACACCGAGCCGCGTTTGCACGTGGACGTGTTCGGCACGAGCACCGACGGCCTTTCGCAGAACGCGGCCATCAGGTTGAGCAGACAGAAGCCCGGGCACTTGGGTCCGTTGTGGACGGCCGGCGCCTGGGTGGTAGTGGCGGGCGGCCGGGACGCCGGCCTGGACGCCGGGAGCGGGGACGCTTGAGACGCGCCGCCGGCCCCATCCGTCACCGGCGCGGTAACGCAACAGCTGCTGTCCTCGCCGGGGCAGTACGCGTCCGAGTCGACGTCGTCGCAGAACAGCGCGAACAGTCCGCTGACGCACTCGCCCCGACACTGTTTGCTGCCCGCCGGAGCCGCCTGTCCCGTGGTCGTGGCCAACGTGGTGGTCGTCGGCGTCGGCGTAGTGGCCGCCGGCGTTCGGTGCGGCGATGTGGTCACGCTGATCCGCGTGGAATTCCTGTCCAACACGACCAAGTGTTCGGCGCCCAAGAACGCATCCTTGGACACGCAACACCTCAGTCCCGTCTTGCACATTTCGGTCACGTTTAACACGGCCTCGCAATAGTCTGCTATCCTCTCGGCCACGCAGACTCCCGGGCACGTGATAACTGAACAGACGACAAAGATATTACAATTTTTCCCCTCAATATATTACATATAACATATTACCCGTTCCCGTTTTTGTATTCTTACCCGGATTATCGTTGGACGACGCGGTGGTCGCCGGCCGTTGACTGTTGTTGTTGGAGGCCTATGACGGGAGAAAAAAAAATACTGTCAGCACCGGGTAAAGTTCCGTAAGAGCTTACGACAAAATCCGTCGCCGTGTGTGTGAAGACTCACTTGTGAAGACGGCCTGGACGGTGTGGACGCCGCGGTGGTGGCCGGCGTCTGATCCACCTTGTTGGCGGCCGTAACGTTGGACGTGCCGTTGACGGGCAACGGCGACTGTTCCACGCAACACCTCATGGACGGGCTTGGACACTTGACGTTTTCCAGCACTTCGTAGCATATGAGCGTGGCCAACGTGTGCACGCAAACGCCCGGACAATCTTGGCTGTTCGCCGTGCTGGTGATGGTGTCCAACAATCCTGTACGCGAGACATGTGTTATTATTATGAGTCTAGGCGGCAGCAAAGTATTAATAATAATGCGATAACAATAAAACTGTTTTATTATTATTATACTATAATTAGGCACTATGAGGCGTTAAATAGGTATCGGGGTCACGCGCCAATGTTCCCGCGCATATATTACTATACGTGCGTATTATACATGATAAAAAATATACGTGTATGTAGTGTACAACGCCCGTATAATATTATACACGAGCGGCCATAACGGTCCTAGACGGAGCGCGCGCGTTTCTTCAGTAACGGTACCGCGTATGCGTCGCAAACTTTTTTTGATCACCACCGTCGTCGTATCGTCCGGTCCGTTACTGCGATGCGCCCACTTTTTAGGCGCCCAACGTAATAACGCGCAACTGCGGCGTTGCGAAAAGATAACTCAACAATTATTATCTAGATAAGATGACGGATAATTTAATTAATCACACTCATTTATCTAGATGAGATATTAGATTATATTAATCACACTCATTTATATAGATAAGATATTAGATTATATTAATCACACTCATTTATATAGATAAGATATTAGATTATTAATCACACTCATTTATCTGGATAAAGATAAATACAATTTCATCTTAACACAAAATAGATAAATTACATATTTTTTACCTACATAAAAAATATAATTTTTTTTGTATAAAACAAATTGCAAAAATACCCAAATTAAAAAAATATTGACTAATAAAATTGGCATATTACAAAAGAAAAAATAACAAACATTATAATAGAACAACGTCTAATGACATATTATTAAGAAAATAAAAATGTATTAAAAAATTTTAAAAAGTTCAATTATCACTTACATGACACAACGTGTAACATAAAATGCTCATACAACACAAATTAACATATGAAAATGTATTGAATGCAAAAACCGCACTTGTAGATTTGTCTTTCTGTGTGACAAGTGTGGTTTTTACAATCACCGGGTTTCACTTATCAATTTCTACCCAGATCAATAGATTCAGATAACCGTTCTATTTATCTAGATAAGATAATGAGACGTATTAAGAATTAAGATCATCTAGATAAGCTGATATAAGTTCAAACATTTTTATTCAGATAATTTGTATCTAGATAACCTTCAATGCGACAAACACTATTATTAAGTAAAAAAACATGTACATCCAATAAAAAAATGTTTGGAAAATAAAACAAATATGTAATTTGTAACTGTATTTTCCAACTGTATTTTTTCTACTCTAGGCGATGAGTGTATTTCATCATTCATTTTTTCAAGGGGTATTTTTTTTTTTTTTTTTGGTGTGTCATAATTATCTACTTAAATCTAATTTAACGGGTTCTATTGTTGTTAAACAAGTCGTCGGCTATGATTTAGGTATTTATCTTAGTAGCACAATTATTATTCCACCCGAAAACAGGTTTTGGACGGTTAAACAGGTTCATCTTCGTTTCAAGACACATTTCTTAGCGTTTGAACAGCATTATTCATTGCATGTAACCGAATATCTTTCTTTTTGTATGGTTTTTTTTTTTACTTTAATTATAAATAAATATAAGACGTATAAGTGTTTCGTTAAACAAAACATTAACATGTCATTCAAATGTAAACAACTAACGCCATATTATACTGAATTCGACATTTCCACCATAATATACCGTTTTTTTTTTTACAAATAGAATATATAATTATTATAAAATATGTAAAACAATTTACTGTCGTTACAATTTATTGCGATTCGATTATTATAATTTTCTATAGATTTTTTTTTCCCAATAAACGTTGTGCTACTTTCTCGGCCGGGTAATTTTGTAACTTATAAACCGTTTTTATTGGGCTACGTTATGGGTGTGTATTTAATTAATTATTTTTAATAGTAAAAAATAACAAAATTAGGTATTAGTCGTTTTTTTATACCAGTTTTGATTGAAATATATATATACACATAAATAAATAATATATTGACTACTCTTATAATGTTAAATAATATTTAATTTTTAAGACAATTTGCAAAAAAAAAATACTAAGATACCTAACACAAAATGTTTAAGTTGTTTAAAAGTTGATAGAGCTCTGGAAAATACTTTTAAAAAAAGGGTACATATTTAGTAATTTATATTGTAAAACAACAAAAACGAAAATAATCCTGCAATTATTTCATGAGAAATACATAGTGTCTTAACCTTAAGGGGAACGGAAAGCGTTATATTTTGTTATGATGTAAAAAATAAGGAATATTTGACAAAGTAATTGATCTAGTAACCATTTTAAATAGGCCGACTTAAGGTGAAAAAAATATAAAGTTTTTCTAGTTATACAACTTGCAAAGTTATTTTTCTAAGGCTAAGTTTGATGTAAAAATTTACTCATCATTTGCATTTTTTTTAAATTTAACGCATTCCGTTGCCCTTGAATGAATGGCACACCCTGCCAGTGGCGACGGTTCAGTGGCGAGCGCGCCTCAAGGATCAAAGCGTTTGGCCCGCGGCGTCTACGGGGGTCAGTAACCGGCAAGGTCGCCGAGGCCGCGGCCCATAAGTGGGCGCGAAGCAGGAAGGAACGAGATGATAATATACACAGGAGGTATAGGTACGTATGGGAACGACATAACGTATCTATAATAATAATACACTACAATCGAACCGTACGGTAAACGATGGCATCGATGACGGCAAAGCACAGCGACATACACGCACGGCACGAGACGCGCGCAGGTACCACCTTCTTACACCGGCGACGGCCGCGGGGATCGGGGTCAAACGCTTTCTATACAAAATGCTTATGGTACCGATTGTTTGCGCGGGTCGCCGCCGCGGGGTACCGTTATGTCCTGGTTTTTTTTTTCGTCGTCGACGCCGCCGCCGTGGCCACTGATCGACGAATGTTGCGCCGTTCTGACGGTGTAAAGTCCATATCGCGCGACATTATTTACTTACGCAGCCGACGGCCGTCCTCATCAGTTTGGCTATATAATCTTAATATAATGCTAGACTGCTGGAAACGACCGTGACCCGTACAACGAGATCAATGGATCATATTTAACAAACTCAAAAGCAACGACAATGGCGCGTGTTTTTTTTTTTTTTTAGCGGGTTTTCCAATCAAATCAAAAACAAATGCACAATGCGTGTACCTGAAAAAAAGCTGCTGGCCAGTGAATCTGTGTCCTGAGCCCGGGCGAACGGCGTAGGGTGCGCCGCAACCATGAGCAGCAGCAGGGACACCGCGGCCCCGTGGTACTGCGGTCTGGCCATGACGGGCGCGGCGACGTGGTCGGGTCAACAGCGGCGGCGGCCGTTCATCGGGAACACATTGGACGAAACAACACACAGTACACACAGTACACACACACACACACGGGATACGCGATACCGATAGATACGGTTATACCTACTGTGTACTCTACGGTTGCCGCGACTGCCGGATGATGGCCCGTGAATCACACTGCGATCGCTCAATGGCACACATCAACTACACACAGTGCGTGGTCACAGTGCGTGCACACTCGGTGGACCGCGCGAATCGTTTGCTCGTACCAGAGACGACATGACCGGCCGCCCGCCCGACGATGCCTCCGCGCGGTGCGACGCCGGCCGTACCCCGGCGACCCCCACCACCCCAGACGCTTATTACCGTACGACCGCCGCTGCCGTCGCGTCCCGCGGTTCCGCGGTTCGGTTCCCGTATGTAAAAAATATATCGCTTGTACGGTCATAATGAAGTGCACCGGCGGCACGCAACACCGGGAAATGCCGGCGTGTCACCGAAGACGTGTCGAAAGCGATAGCGGCTACGGCGGCGGCGGCGGCGGAGAAGAAGGTATGTGCAGGGAAAGTGCAGTGACATTATATTATACCGTCGTTGTAATGTAATATAATGTATGGTATGTATACGTAGGTATTGTACTCGCGGAGACTTTAACGGCCGCCGCGATCGACTGGGTTTTTCCCCTGTTCTCGGCCGCTGTCGTCATTATCCGCCGCCCCAATCGAAGAACCCCATCTCCGATTATGGATGGAATGTGGAGGAGCAATTATGGAGGAGTATGGAGGAAATTTGGAGGTGAATTAATGGAGATAGTGGATAAGAGATAATATATTAGAGACACTGGATTGCAGATCAACATATCCGTGTATTGATGTATCTGCTTGAAGTGCGGATACTATTAACTTTTTCTGCATTTTGTTGTGGCAATCTTTTTTTTGTACAAAGTCTTCTCTCTCCATTTTTTTTTAACCAAATCTTATTCGATACACAACTTATGGTATGGATAAAAATGACTTTTTTCCATAAGTTGGTTTCAAAGAGTTTTTTTATGTACCTTAACACAAAAAAAACATGTTTCGCCGTTTGCATTTGAAGAGGGTAAAGCATAAAATATGATTCTCGAGACTTCTATATTGTGTAATGAGTGTTTCGAATAATAAATGTTTTTTTTTGCTTTCTGGTGGAAAATGTTCAACAATGTTTTTAAATTGAATTAATTATTTTTCATAATCTGTTTCTAAATCTACATTTTTTTTTTCAATCCGAACATTGGTTAAATGATTATTGATGTCTCTCTCCACTTATCTCTGTCACTTATAATCCTCTTCAGCTCCCAGTATGTTCCTATTCCGGTATCTTCCATCACCTGCTTCAGTTCTAGGCCTTCCTCTTCCAGGTTTTCCTTCGATTTTTCCCTCTATTATTGTGGTTATCCAAGGACTATTCCTTATTACGTGTCCGATCCATGCTTTTCTTCTCAGTCTTAGAGTATTCCATATTGATTTTTGGCTATTCATTCTCCTGAAAACCTCAGCATTTTTTATCTTATCTGTCTATGAAATGTTTAGCGTTCTTCTCCAACACCATACTTCAAAGGCTTCTATTCTGGCTTTTTCAGCCTTCATTATTGTTCAAGTCTCTGCTCCATATAGAGCTACGCTCCACACAAAGCTTTTTATAAGTGCTTTCCTGGTGTCCAGACTTATTCTGTTTGAAGTAAAAAGATTTCTTTTTGTATAATAGTATCTAATTTTATCTACATTATAATATAATTTAACAAGACGTTTACCTTCGAATATCGTCTAATGTCTCATTTCCCGAGTTGAATCAGAATCTTTTATTTATTGCAACGTACATTTCCATTCTTCTACTTAACTATCACCAACAATAGTTAAATTTTTAATTTCCGGTAAAATTAATTATTTCATTCGTGCTCAAATCGTCGTTACGTAATGTTGACTAAACTTACTTAATAAAGGTCTAATGGATTCGTCATGCTTGAAATCTTTGTCAAGTCCATTCATGGAAGAGAGAACATGATGACCAAACGTAAGTTACATTCACTTTCGTGTGAATCATTCGGTGACGTATAACTGTGGTCTTAGTAGGTGTATCATAAGAACATCCCGTTGTATAACCACAAGGAATTTAGTGACAACGAATTCCATTTATTTTTTTCTACAATTAGGACATTAGGTAGCATATTTTGCTCGGGACGTCGTTGTATTCTTATTGAATCAATATGAATTGCTCGTGGAAAGAAAAACCACATTGTCAACGGGCTAGGTAACTAATGTACCGGTTCACTTGTGAGGTTAAGTTTGTTGTGAGCCAGCAAATAAAATACAGAAGTTTGCTGACGATTATTCAAAAGACATTCAGCCGGTTTCGCCAACTATTGTTAAACACACTCTTAACACAATGTTCGTTAACAATTCATTTAAATTTAACAAAACGTTAGTTGGGTTACCAAAGCGGTTACCTCGAATCCAACGTTATCATTGGTTATCAACATATGTGATAACAGCTGATAAGTGATTGTATTATTTAATTTGTCAGTTTCTGAATTGTTTGACATTTTGTTTTACTTTCTTCTAACGTTTCGGTTTTTATAAATTTTCAAAATGAATACAATATCGGAAGACACGAAAATAGTTTGTCATCAAGGTGGTTAAAACAATGTTTGCTATTTTGAAGGCCTAAAAAAAAGGTAGGTAGTGATAAGAATTATTTCCGTTGTTAACAAATGTCGGCGAAACCGGCTGTAAGAGTGACCGAGACGTCAACGAGGTTATATTTATGTTTTTATGCAATGCAAATGTTGCATTCGATTCCATTGAGATGGCGGATTATAATGGCCGGACATGATGATAATGTACAAACGGTTATATGCGAGACACACGACGTCCGTTACAGTTCCCATAGGTATGATAGGACATAATATAATAAATGTAGGACCACACACACTATCCGCTGTACGTATAGATAGCTGTGTAGACATCATTCCGGCCGGGTAAAATAATATTAAATATATAATATGTGGGGGTACAAACGTGGATACATGGAAGGCGCAGAAAAACCTAGCTCACACGCATGCCACACAGACCATGGGAACCGGTAGAGGAACAGTATAATATTATAATAATGTATAAACTAAATGTGTACAAGACGTGTTTCATCTTCGACGGGAAAAAATACAAGCAAGCATCTCGTTGGTGTCGTGATTTTATAACGGGTTCTCTGAGAAACGCGTTGTGTGTGTGTGTGTGTTTAATATCAAATTCATTCAGATGGTGTACATTATATTATTAGCCTCGGGGTCCACTGCTCTCTCGTCCGAATTCCGGATCCGACCCGTAATAGCTGGTGTTCCTAAAAAAAAAAAAAAAAATAATAATAATAATATAAAAACCCATCGACTCTGATTAGACTTTAGGGCGACTCCACGCGGCGGTAGTTATAAAACGATTAGCAGGCGAACCTGTTCTTTTTGTACGGACGCGTATATTATACTGGAAGGGACGAGACGAGGGGGAGATCTGTCAAAATCTTACACCCACAACGGTCGAATCATAGAGTAAGAATATATTATATAGAGTTTTTACCATGTCTTGTACTCTAGCGATGGTAAAGAGAAGTAGCAGTAACGGTTTAAATAACACTGCTATTTTATTTTGCTGATATTTTCTCTATAATAAACTAGATTGCTAACTAGTGATAAGAATGGAAGTCACCATTTTTGTGAGATTCATTTGTGTATAAAATAATATATATATATGTGTGTGTAATTATGTGTTATCAACATAACTTGTAATTGTTTTAAACAGTGATAACAGTTATAAACATGTGATAAGGTTCTAATTCAAGATAGCGGAAAACGGTGACTTCAATTATCTCTATTGGTGGCGCGTACACTTAGTAATCTAGTTTATTATGTACATATATACATCTGTGATACCTAAATAGCAGCTATATCAGCAATTTAAATAACGGGTAGGAATTAGACGATAGCTAATAACAATACCCGCTATTATTACCATACACAAAATAATAACCTATTGGTAGTGTCTAAAACCATAGCAATAGCTACTATTTTTGGTAAGTAATATCATTGGCAATTGATATAATATATAATTAATAAGCAGTTTACCGTCGATACTGTACTCAGAGCGAAGAAGTAATCAAGAAAACGAGCGACAGTGTGACCACTTCAAAATAAAAATAAATGTTTTTTTATAGGTTATTGAACACTATACATTGTAAACCTTATTAATTACACGGATCAATAGATAAATATTCATATAATAATCGATCATGATTCTAGAACGGTTATAAGTAGAGCCAAACAAACTTAAGTGTATCCTAAGCAATTATACCATTTGTTATATACTGTTAGTTCAGTTTTAATTTGTGAACATACCTGGGTTTGTCCCTTAAATAAATATATTATACCTATAAATAAATAAATAAAAACGTTACTTTTATTCTGTATCTTTATCGTTTTTAAAATAGAATCAATAATTAAATTAACGGGTATTTAGCGTCTATAGGCTGTTATGACAATACCTATGTATATTTTGATCGTTCACAGACCTACATTAAAGCTGTTAAAGCATAAATAATCAATTTCACCAAGCATTGTTATGAACTTCTTATTGACAAATAGAGACTTAAAAACAATTATTTGGTGAAACTGGTCAACGACACGATATTCTAGTATAATTGACAATTGTTTATATAGGTCAAATAAAACGTTACTAATTTGTTTTCAGATTATAAAAATTGAATAAATATATACTTATCAAATGAGAAAATATTAAGTAGACATTTTAAAAATAATTTTAAAGACATAATAATATTATGTTTTACCACAAATTATTATCGGCTCAACTTAATAGTTGGCGAACAGGTGATGCCCTGATATGGATTATTAGTAATATTCTATACTATGGGTAGGTATGTATTTAGTATTTTCACCACGAGCATCATTAGTAATTCTTCAATGAACTGAGCGAACGACTCTGATGAGCTGACTAACAATAATTGAATACAAACAATATTATCGTGGTCCTGATTTAAGTTCTAATGAAAGTATCTAACTGTGTAAAAAAAAATGTATATATGTATATTATATATTGATATTTCGTACCGTTAAGGCGAAATAAACGGAAACCAATTATTTATTATTATTTAAGCATAATAATTTAACGTTAAACGTTTTTTCAAAATTAATTACACAGAATAAGGCGTGCCCTCGAAACGATCCGGTTACTCGGTAATAAAAAAAAAATTGGAAAAATTAAAAACCGACACGATTATATATATATTTTTTTTAATGTCTTTTACCAGTTAATATGTACAGAGTTTTTTTTTTGCTCACTCATCTCGGCCAGAGTGTTGCGAAATCCCACGTTATTTATTTTTTTTTTTTTGACAGAAAACTAAATTTTACCGTTTTGCATTCAACTCGGAATGCTGTCATAATAATACTTAAGACGTCAATCTATTAGTAATACATGTACACCTGACCAATCTTGTGTTGACACGAATGGAAATAATAATAGCAACAGCCGTTAACCTTTTTTAAAGTCTATAATAATTTGGAATTCCCAAAATCTACAATATACAGAGCGATGCAATTGACACACTGGTTTTCTCGGTAAACAATTACGGTTTTGTAGTTTTCCTATTATGGGCATATTTTCTATTTATGTCAGTTTGAAATATTTGAAATTTGACAATTTTTTACCTTTTTTTAGTATTGTTGTAAATATAAGCGCTGTTAACTTATATTTTTAACTTGATCGAGGTCGTTTCATTAATATAAGACACTAATTTTTAAAATAATAATTGCAACGGTTTGGAATTATTGTTAAATACAGTGTTAACACAATGTTAGTTAACAATTCGTTAAAATTTAACATCCGGTTAAATTAAGTAAGTTTCATCATAACATTATTATCATTAAATTCTATTTGTTAAGCTAACAAAATGTTAGTTAGGTTACCAAAGCGGTTACCTTGATTCCAACGTTCTCATTGGTTATCACGAAATGTGATAACTGATAAGTGATAATATTATAATTTTATGTTTAAATCTAAATTAGTATTGTATAATTTGATCTTGAACGAATGTTGGTGAAATCGGCTGAAAAGGTAATGTATATAAAACGTTTTCCATTTTTAAGGTGTAGTTTCAATGATAATATCTGGAAATCAGACTAAGTGAGTGGATCTTGAGTGGGATTATAACCTGTAATAAAACCTGTAAGTAAACTTATTCGTGTAATTAAAGAAGAACCACACAAAAATCGCACAGCGTGTTTTAAACCAATAATCTCTGAAAATAATTTTCATTAAAATATTGCCGTTCGACGATCAACTCTAATGCTAAAAAATTACACTTTTAAATCTATTTTTGCCTTTGCAATGCTTTTATTAGGTTCGCATAGTTAGGTTAGTAAATATTTTATGGTAGCGTATTGTTTTAAACGGGTTTCAGTTAAAATCACATTGACTCGTACATATATTTTCTTTACAAACAGTTTAATTTCTATTCTGACACAAATCTCTCAATGGCGAATAGTCACGTACACAAACAAAGTACAAACAATGCACCCCGCGTTGAATGGGCGATTGTCATATGTTATAGGTACCTAACCGAATAGTAAATTCCTTCCATTTCCAATAAGGTCGGTATTTCTTTTTCTTTTTTTTACTTTGACTTTCACGGTTCATTTACGCGTACACGTCTTTAATCACACACTATCGACGATCAAATTGAAGACAAAAAAAAAATGAATCAAAGAACCGGTTGGTTCGATGAAATTGAATCGTTGGCCAATATCTTTCCAAAAATATATCCCTTACCAAATTAGCTCATATGAAAAACAAAAATTATGCAACAACTGCTAATCGGGAGAACTTAAATTGCTTGATGATATTATCATCTAAAACTGACATTTTAAGTAAAATAAACTGTGATTAATTTCTCCAAAAATTTGCAAGCAAGAAAAAAATGAGTTCCTAAAATAGTATACAAATCATATTATACGAATGTATTTATTGTTTTAAAAAAAATATATTCGTAAAGAAGATGTACCTCTTTAGTAGCCACTTATGTTATTTGTTATCATGAAATACTATCTGTTTTCGATCTCTGTAGCGATTGCTTATGATACAGCTGGTTGATAACAGATAGGATGAGTTGAGTATTAGTCTAGTAAATATTAATGTATTAAATTGTTAAGTTTATTATTTTTATTTAAGATTAATCATTAATTAGTAATAATAAACTTTAATTGTAGTTGATTGTTACGGGTTTGTATTTATATACCTAGTAAAAATAAGGCATGTATGTAAATAATAAAATAAATTAATTGTTTACAGATTAACACAATTTGTCTATTATTATAAATTATAAGGCACCCTTATAAAATATATATATATATATATATATATATATATTTATATATACTTTTAAAATGTTTTACCCAAAAGTAATATCTATTTTTTTAAAATATTTTATAATCAAGTCGATTTTTATTAAAAAGTTGTTGCATTTGTTTTTTGTCAACAGTGAATTACTAAATATAACCAATAAAAGCACAAATGTGGGTTTTGGTCTTGAGTTGGTGTCAATTTAACTGAGTTTAAACTTTAAAAGCTGTATTTAAACATTTTAAAAGTTAAATTATTGAACGATGTAAGCGTTTCGTTTTTACCAGTTCAAAATCAGATCATCATACTATTAACAACATGAACATCAGCATCAGTTGTAAGTATAAAAAATAATGTAAATTTTAGCTTGGTACCGTTTTCCATTCTTGATTATTTTTCATTTTACTAAATTTCTGATCGGTACAAGAATCTCAACAACTTAAAACACCGGTTATATTTTATTTATTTATTCGTAATGGCTACTTAAAATACTGAAAAGCACGTTAATTTGCCTATTCACAGTATGTTTAGGCGTAGGTCTTATTATTAGTTGACGATATTACTAAACAAAAGTAATAAATTAATATGCATGTGTTTTGAGTATAAAGCAATACATTATACACAAACAGAATTATTTATAATTTCATTTGTTTTTCTTGAATGAAAAGAAGGAGAGGGCTAGAAAAAAAATCACAAAGGCAACAAATATAATATTTGAATTGTAAATTTCGAAAAGGGCCCATCTCGAGTTTTGATCAAAATTGATTTTTCCACGTTTTTTTCATTTACACATATAGACCGATATTTTATGAACGAAAAGAGCCCAAATCTGTTTTCTATTGTGATGAAAAAAACTATTTATAAAACTCATAAAAATAAAAGAACATGTCAAGTCATAAATCAGTTTTTTGAGTTTCCTGAAAAATTTTAATTTTCCGATATGAGCCCTTTTCGAAATTCCCAATTGATTTAGAATCTGGACGAAAACTGTTTATTAGGCAGTTGGTTAAAAAAATTTTATATTAGTGTGGTATGAAAAAAAAAAAGTGTAAATATACTAATGATAATAGTATTGTACAATTTATATATGCTGAGTGTATGTATAGGAATTAGTCATCCTTAGGTCCCTGGTCTAAATAATTATCATTACTACTCAAAAGCGGTTCCATTTTTTAATCGTTTAACCATACTTGAAAAATTCGGTTTTTAATCTGTTTGTAGTAGGTAGTATTTTCTTCTACATTGTTACTCGGTATTTTTTCAGGGTTATAATGCTCTGAAAAAAGTATGAAAAAACGGTTTAGGTACTTTATGAATATCAAACAAAGAATGTGGAAATGGGTCTGTAAAATGCAATGAACATTATTACCGGTACAGCGAACGTTAAGTTTGCCTGAATAAACATTACATAAATGATATTGGATTTGATTTTCTGCATTATTATATAAATAATTGTATTATTTTTTTAATTAGAAGACAAAGGTAAAGGTAGAAAACATATGTGTGCAAAATGTATCTGAGAGAAAGGACTTGGTTCGAATATACAGGGTGTCTTGTAAAGTTCTTCCGAGCTTCAAATGAGACATTTAGGATGCTCTATGGGTACAATAAATGGTATTAATTTTTTTTAAATTTTAAATAGAACTCGTGTCTCATTAAAAAAATGGTTTTACGAATAAAATAATTTCAGATTTGAAATCAGGAGAAAAAATCTTGTTGAATTGATATGTAACATGATTTTTTGGTATCTGGCCACACATACGTCCACAGGGTGGCCACTAAGTGGCCGGCATGTGACCAAAACTAACATATGGCATGCGACACATAATTTAATATAAAATAATACTAAGAACACCACTGAATTAAGAATAAAATTCTAACCCAAAAAGATGTGTCACAAGATAAGATGGCCACACTCCCGGCCACAATAAAATATCATACACGATAGTTAAATAGATAACAAAATATGTGTTTATAATCGTGAGCAAAACAGTTTATGAAATATATTAAACTAATAAACATTTTGTGCATAAGGAAAATTTTTTTAAATTTAACAATATACTAATAGTATTGTATAATTTTTAGAAGAGTTCCTAACCGGTGGAATTTTTGATTCCTGGTCTAAGCTATCATTATTCTTCATCAATTAGCAACTGTTATTCGTTAAGTTATGAAATTAGTTGTATTGTTGTTATATTCTTGTGACTTATACCTATTGAAATAGATATTATATTGTAAAAGAATTGACGTTAAAACGTTTGTAACAATTAATACATACATTTACCCAACCCTGGGACTAAGACTAACAGGTGCCATGGGCGTTGGAAATTTCGCTGCCATGTAATTTAATACTTAACAATTCTAGTTAATAATTCTCATTATATTGTATCACACTTATTGTATTCTTATTATATCATACTATTTGTTTATGAACCACGAAAGATAGTATTTTATTGTTTTTATGTAATTGGGCTTGGCCCGTTTAAACTTAATTACATTAAAAGTATAAACAAAAAAGTACGCAAGAGTAATAATGTTAATTAACAACAAAAAAAAATTCGCGTTATCTACAGTTGCAGACGAATGGTGATAACTGATACTAATCGTTATCGCAGTGCGTTCAGAAAAGTTTTGATATTACCAGCAACCGCTATATACCGGGGTTTAACCAAAGTTTATAAACCTTGGTTATATATGGTTGTAACCACTCTATACCCCTAGCGGTTTGCTCTATAGCTGCTGGTGTTTTTTTTTCTTTTCAGTGCGACTACTAACACTTGATTTTCTCTTCCATGAGACACGGTGTCGACTGTCCCGCTCCTCTACATCATTCTCTCTCTGTTAACGTTTCGGTCTGTCCACACATGAAAACGTGCTTCGACACTACTTTGCGGCGACTGGTAAGTGTGAATGATTTTTGTTTTATAATTTCAAGTTAGTTTTGAACGTTTTAAACTTGTAAATCAAGTCGATTTCCGTGCGATCCGATCTATCGTTCGGTGTCGTTGGACGGTACGAAAAAAATCAAACCGCTTATCAAGCGACACCGTTCGGTTTTCCGTCCGCCTTTAGGTTATGCTTTGCATGGTTCTAAATAACATAATTAATTAATTACCCCTCGAAACTAGATTGGTCTTTGTCGATTAGTCTTTTTAGAAATGTGACCAACCGATTACCGACTACTATCTCGTTACTTCGATACCCGTCGAACGTCTCCGTTCCCCGATGCGTTGTTCGATCACAACAGGCGTACTACACAACTGCACATCTGCTATAATATTATAACATTTAAAACAGACCTATCTTATATATACTATTGTTGTAATTGATCTAATAGTTTATTTTTAAATCGCACTTCTTTTTCACAGGTGATATATAGTTTGTGCTGTCGTTTACAGTTTAGAAGATACAATGCCTGTAAGTCGACAGGTCAACCCATTTTATTTAGTTTTGTGTTTATTAATTTTGTCTATATGCGTCTGTAGTTAGCTAAAGATTTGCTTCATCCGACCGCAGTCGAAGAACGGAGGAAACATAAATTAAAGCGGCTCGTCCAACACCCTAATTCTTTTTTCATGGACGTCAAATGCCCGGGCTGTTATAAGATCACGACCGTATTCAGTCACGCTCAAAGTGTAGTTATATGCACAGGATGTTCTACGATTTTATGCCAACCAACTGGAGGACGAGCTAGATTAACTGAAGGTAATGTCTTTACACAACAGTAATTGTTTTTAAGTCGAAATATTTAGCCTGCCACGTCGATGAGTCATTGAGAATTCAAAGTTAAAAAATGTATTCTTTCCTTACCTAACCTACCCGGATAGGTTGTCTGGTAATAATCTGCCTAACCTAAGCTTTAGATTGTCCAAGTGAGGTTAGTTCAGGTTAGGTTACCAATTTTTTAGCAATCCAGAAATCATTTTCTCCTTTTGTCCCATCCGGCCTACGCCGCCTCCGATGCATGGGCACGAGTCTTAAATTAAAATATCGTCGCTGTACTGGTATTAGCTCTAATCAGTTGGGTAGACAAGAATGGATACCAAAATATATTGTAGTATTAAATATTATGTTTCATTTTGTTTCAGGTTGTTCGTTCAGGAAGAAAGCTTATTAAAACCATACTCCTGTATTTTTATGTACAATATAAAAAATGCGTTAATAATAAAATCTTAACAAAAAAAAAAAAGAATTCCGTTTTATAAACTCATTTTTATTTGATTTTCTCTATCTCTGTCACTTAAGAGGGTGTCGCAACTAAATTTGTTGTCTTTATCTACAATTCATAAATACCACAACACATTTTAAACTGAAAATAATTGTTGTTTATTAAATCACCAATATCTAATGCAATTTATTTTCTTTCAAATCGCAACATAGATATTTAATCTTAATCTTTTTTTTTGGTATTACAAGTGTCATCGTTATACTGTGTACGGCCTACTTTTAGTTAAAATTAAAAAAAAAACAATATCTTATTAAAATAAGAATAATAATTATTATGTGTTAAAATAGAGAAGCGTTATTAAAAAAAATATATCAAAGCTTATAGTCATCTATACTGATATCAAAACTGATGGTAAATTTTAAATTAATCAACACATAGTAAAAGTTAAATGGATTCAAAAGTAGGGAAAATATGTCAACATTTGTTCTAAACTAAACTAACATAATTGTACTGGGCACGGTTTATGTTAAATACGTATTTACAGATTTTACTCGATTCCAATTCAAATCTATTTTAAATTAATCAGTGTTTATTTTTTACTAAACTGAATGATGAAATTAAAATTAAAATTAAACAGCTACATAGTAGACGACAAACAATATTAATTCTTACAGCGATTGTCTGTTAAAAATATACAATTTTGTCGGATTGCAACCACATTAAACAAATCTGGAAATCTGTACGTGATGTGTCTCGGTTTGATTATTGTTTTGTTATTATTATAATTATTTTTTTTACAAGATTAAATATAAGACCAGTACACATTAACTGCTAATTACCTCGATATCTGCACTGCTGAATTTTTAAAAATTATATTTAATGTCCAATGTAGTAAACAATTGTGAGAGCTGATTTTTAACTAACTTTGTTTTTAAAACTGTATTATAAGTGTTATTATATTTTCATATGTAATGGCTCTCATAGAGAAAATAGCGAGGCAGATTAAAAAAAAAAAAAAAATTGGAAATGATAAAACTAATTTCTTATCAAACTTTCGCCATTACTCGGAGAAAAATAATAAAAAAACTTCATTATTATTTAAATATGTAAAAAAAAAATATGTAGCCACGTTTGGATGAACTGATTTTTTTATTGCAAATCTCTGTCCGAGCTCGCAGTGATGTTGGGAAAATAAATTAACTATAAAAAAGTATTTTAAAAAAAAGAGTCCTTGTTACTGAACTTCTTAACTGCTGCACGTCACGGTCCAACGATTGGATTAATATTTTGAAAAAAATTGCCTATACCTAACTCCTTAATAAATGACCATATAACGTGCCCCGTTTACAAGGTGGATTGATATATCCCACTTGAATATTGGTTTCGTATTAGTTACTTTTATTCGTTATTTGCTCCTCAACGTTTTTGAGCCATTGTACTTTGTAAGTGAAGTAATATTGTCGTATTAAAAAGGGCTAGTGCAGCCCTTTTTAGGCTCCCCCCCCCCTCTTAAAAATAATTATTGTACTCGGCGCCTTTGATTTGTTATGTCATTATTTTATCACGGTTTTTGATTTTGCCAAAAGGCGGGAATCCGTCGTGCCGTCATGTTGGCTTTGCGGTTTACAGTGTGGCCACCACAGCGGAACGCGGACCGGCCGCCGCCGCGGCCGTTGCGTTTGGCGTCGAACCGCGCCGTTTCGCGGTGTTGAACGGCCGGGGCGCGGCGCCGCGGTCCGTTGAGACGCATCGGTGGCGCCCGTTGAACCCGGGAAAACGATTGTACGCGAACGCCACACTGATAACGCTTTTGTTTATGTTCGTCGATATCAATTTTTCCTTTATTGATAAAAAAAAATAAATTACAAAATAATATGTTAAAATCGAACAATATTATCCGCGTAGAGATATTAAATAAATGACTTTTGAACGTTTCAGTTTTGCCCTCGAATATAAATTTTCCGCAAAACGTTCGGCGACCGCGGGGTGTGTTGGACGTGTGGTTGATTTTTTTTGCGAACGCACAAGTCTCGTTCACCTACCACACAGTGGCCACTGGACACAGTGAAGGGAGACCACTACTAATCCGGCGGTGATCAGCGCGCGCTGACAGTAGTCAAGATTACAATAGTACAAAAAAATCGGTGAGTTCACAAATCGGTTAAGTTTGGCTTGCGGTAAACGTTAATGTCTTCCGAGCGCATCCGTCGTCACCGTACGGCTGTACGTTTGCACCGTCGCTAACGATTACTTTTCGCTCGAAACCCGTCGGATAACCTTATCACAAATTTTAAAATTACATATTTTATCGATTTTACTCGGTTTCTGATTTAAATGGATTTTTAAATTTTTTTTCTCCTAATTAGAGCCGTAAATTTTATTATTATTACGTGTTAACGACTTAATTAATGTGTTTGCTTAACGATTGCACAGGTAGCGGAATGCGGTAACCAGCTACATTTATAAACAGGACGAGCAATGCAGAATGTATTTGCCCGGGACATGTTTTCAATGGGCTCGTTTGACGGCAGCGTCAAATGCAACGGACATGTCCAGCTACCGGGGCGTACGACAAAAAAAGACCGCAAAGGGTGTAAAAAAGAAAAAATTGAGACTGTTTTAAAAAACCGACTGTTAAGCTCGCCTAAATCCAAAACGTTAAATAAGGTACCTAAAAACAATGTCAAAACAAAAAGTGCTGTGAATCAAGTCGATTCTGACGAGAACAGCTGCGCCATGAACCTAGTGGTGAAAAAACAGAATGCCAATGAAACCGTGTTTCCTATAATGGACCTTGGACATTACAGTAGACCCCCAACACCACCGCCCATCGTTGTGCCAGAATCGATCGAAGACCGTTTGACCGAGTCTTCGCCGAAAAAGACACCGGCCAAAAAGAAAAACAAAAGCAAAAGTGAAAAAGTCTGTTTGAATGTTTGCAAGAAAACCGATAAAGTCGATCCGTCTTGTATAAACGATAAAAACCAATTGAGCTGCAACGTTATTACTATTCCACCCAAGAGAAAGTACGCCAAAATGACCAATTGGCAGAAGGATTGTGGTACCCGCCATGAAACATTACAAAGGATACAAAAAGAATGCGAAAAGGAAGCAAAGTTAAGAGAAGACCTCTATCCTTTAGGTAATTACATATATATATATATATAATAGGCTAAATTAATACAATTGTAATATTTAATTTTTTTTTTTTTTTAGATCTAGTGTCGTCAGATGCTGAAGATTTCGATAGCCCTTTAACTCTAGAATTAGAAGATGCGCCCTATCAAAGATTCTGGATGCCCACAGTACGTACGGCTCCAGTCGATCGGGATGCCAAAGTGAAAAATCTTCAATCGATTCTGAGAAGAAGATTTCACCAACTATCGAGCTTACCAGATAATACCCCTTCTTCTGATCTAGTGTTTGCGATGACAAACGCTGCACGAAACGACCCCGTTTATTTCACAAGATACGTTTGCCCCGATTCGGGTCCAGTAATCAAAACAAAGAGGTTAGCGTTTATCATAGTCTATCTTTGTCACAAAAAAATTTAAAACCTCGATTTAGTTGTTTTAACATTACACCGATCACCTGATATCAAATAGTTAGTTAAATATAAATGATTGAACATTTAAAAAATAGTCGGCTACGGTTTTTTATTGTATATTAAGATTTTTAATTCTGCAAAGCCCAAGATAGATTTTTGTAAATTACTCTTTACGACTATACACCAAAACTGTGTGGTATTTATGGTACTCATTGTTAATTAAGGAGTCGAGGTGTGACGATGGTGCAACAAAAGTGCTGTTTAGAAAGATGTCACGACGCTGCCATTCCCTGTACGCGACATTGCTTTAAGCATATTTTACGCAACGTCGATCAACTTCTTTTCGAACATTGTTCGGCACGAACCAATCAAGGTCCGTGTACAAATGCAGTTTTCAACGTACGCAATGTACAGCCATTGTGCTCCGAACACATGTACTCGAAAGCTCCAGTTCAAGTGAGTAGAGTAAATTTAATACAATATTAACCTCGACTTTCGTTTTCATTTTGTGACCGCTTTTGTGTGTTTTTTTCCCCCTATTAGACTGAAGACGTGCCGCCGTCGGTGAAACCTAGGCCGAGAAAAAGGCCCAAGACCACTCCGTTCAACAAGTTAACGAAGAGAAGCAAAAAGAAAAAACCGCCACCCAAGTACCCAATCGAACCTCCGCCATACACCGAGACAATCGAGCCCAACAGTAGTAGCGCTATTGAACCGATTACGTGTACTAACGAACTGCCGCAAAACATCGGCTGCGACGTCTCTTCCCTGTATACGTCGGTGGCGAACCCAGATATGTACCTTCATCCGGGTAAATTGGCTTATTTGTTAAAAAAATGAAGTTAACGAGACGAGAAAGTATCCGTGATAATAATGTGTTACGATAATTGTTATGTAGCAGTCGCTAGCAACATCATCGCAAACGAAGAAGTCGGCGACGAAGTGCTCGCCGGCCTGGACGCTGCTGAACTGAGTCACGCGTCACGATTGCTGGACGACCACGACGATATCACGAGCGTTTTCAGCCAAATACCCGTGGACGCTTTCAACGATCTCTTTACTGGTAAACATTTTTTGTTCATTTAAAAAAAAAAAATAAACGTATCGATTTTATTGTTTAATTATAACACTATATTATATTCAACTTGAACGTGCTTGTGTTAATCGCAGTCGATAAAAACGGACAGTACGTGCCGTCCCGCGAAGAAACCGAGGAGTTAGAACGGGCGCTCGAGGCTGTCGATATGGACGTTCGGTCATTGGAACGGCTGTCGCAGTCGCATATGGCCAACATTCTGGATCCGGCGTCGTTACTAGCCGATTTACCCATACCACCTTTTACTAGCTCATAGCATAGTCGTAAGATTACCGTGACGACGCAAAGGTAATTAATATTTTTTTTTCAACTGGAAACTATCGCAGAATACTAATGTTTTTTTTTTTTTAATTTTTATTCTAGATGAAACACTCAAAACAGGTGCACAGATTAGTGAGAAGAGAATAAAATTAAAAAAAGTAATAATATAATGAAGTAAAAAAAATAATGTAGTTCACGTTTAATAAATAGGCGGTGTTTTTGTATAATTATCGACGAGATAATTATTAAATATTCGGTTAGTAAGTTTTAAATTTTAAGCAATACTAAAAAAAAAAAAAAAATGTACCGAATAGTACGTAGCTAATATATAATATTGCTTAATATAGAGCATAGTCGAGGTGTTATTTAATTAATTTTGTTTTTGTCCAGATAACATTGGTATTTATAAATATAAATATTTAAGAATTATATAACGTGTGTTTCTGCGGTGTGCATTCTCATACACAATGGAAATACGAATAATTACCTTTTTATTAATTATAATATATATCTCTATATATATATATATATATATATATATTTAACGACCTCTTAAAACTAAGCAAATCGCCGAAGAACATTTTTCTTATGCAGTTTATTTTTTTTTTTTTTGTTAAGCAGAAATTTTATTTTCAATCGTTCAATTTTTTTTTTTTAATTGTTGCGCGACGATGATATTAAAATATAACTCGATAAAATACTATTTTTTTTTATTATTATTATTACAATACCTAACATCATTTATTTACTATTATAATATTATATTATTATTATTATTATTATTATTTTTAAAAGAAACTCTTCCACAGTCGTGTAAATATTGGAACGTGGTAACTTTTTGCATTTTATTTTTCTTCTTTGTGTATGTTTTTTTTTTTTTGTACAATCGTGAACAAACATTTAACTAGTAGGCTATGTCGTCGTTTTTATTTGTATAATTATGTGTATGTACAATAAAAGATAAAAACATAATAAACAAATAAAAATAACGATGTTAATGTATAATGTATGTTATATATATATATATTTTTTTTTTTTTTGTAAATTTTTGCTTTGTCCCTTTTTTCGATTTCAATTGTAATGCAGATTCGGGATTTACGTTTCCCTGAAATATTTGTACACCACCGAGAAGTCTTTGTCGCCCAACCCCTTTGCCGTCAGCTGTTCGTACGTGTCCACCGTCTTGTCGGTCAAAGGTATCGGCGCCCCAGAGCTGATGGCCAGCGACTTGCCCAGGCGCATGTCTTTCAGTAACAGCACCGACTTGAAGCCGTTCTGTGAGGGGCAAAAAAAAAAAAACATGCATCGTCACTACCGTACTTAACTTGCAAGGGTCATCCGTGCCCACTACCGTACTTGATAATCGCTGTTGCTCGGGCACTTGTTGTCCGTAGCTCCGGGTACGGGATTGTTGACTTCCGACGACCAACACTTGCCCGTGCTCGTGTTGATGATGGATGCGAACAGTTTGGGGTCCAGACCTAACCTGTAAGATTTTTAATTATTTTACATTATTTTGTCTTTGCCACGACCGTTGTAAAATTGCATTTCTAGTATTTAATGCGGACACGGTCGGTGTTGTCGACCGTTTGAGATATTATTTTGTTGCCGTTGTCACCGTTTATGTGAATTCAGGGTTTCACACCGGCGTGAGCCTTTTAAGAAGCCCCCCTGACCTCCTACACCCCCCCCCCCCTTTTTTTTTGACACCGCTCCTTGGGTTACCTGATACAAAAAAAAATGAAAAACAATACAAGTCCATAATTACTTTATGCCCAAGTTCATGGCTTCGGCCACGGCCACCGTGGTCATTCCCAGTATCATGTTGTTGCATATCTTGGCGATCAGGCCTGTCCCTTGGGCGCCACAGTGCACCGTTCTCGAGCCCATCGAATCGAACAGACCCTGGGCTGCTTTCACGGTGTCTTCTTGGCCTCCCACCATGAAGGTCAAAGTGCCGTTTGCGGCTCCGACGACCCCTTTAGGAGCGACACACGAAGTTAGGGAAACTCAGGGAAGCAAAACTTTTTGGCGACAGCAATGAATTTAGAGTCCGGATTTGCACGGGGTATCATTCGTCCCGAGAAAGAAGTTTTGGGGAGTTTCTTAAAAGTGTACGGGAGCTACGCGGCTATGCAAGGGTTTTTTAGTGCATACAAATCCGGACTTTAAATCAAAGATACTTAATGCAGTTATGAATGATTGATTGATATCATTGTCCACTATATACGGTACCTCCGGACACGGGAGCTCCCAGAAACCGGCACCCTTTGCGTTGGGCCATTTCGGCCACTTTTATGGACGTTTCCGGACTGATTGTACTGCAGTCGACGAACATTTGATTCTCTTTGGACGATCTAACACCATCATGATATTATTGCGGTTATTGATTTATTTTTTTTCGAACACACACATAATACGGTATGGCATATTTTATTTATCCGGATTTAGACATTATACTGGATTGTTTTGTGTCGATATTTGCAAACAATTGCATTTATTATTTGCATACACCTCTGTTTACACCACGAACCGTTTAAGTTTGCCCCCCACCCCTAATAAAAAAAAAAAAAATTTGACCGCTTTTTTAAGAAACAAAAACCAATAACGCTGGTGTCCAATCTGGTAATTTTGGATACAAATCTGGTCACTAATTTTAAATAGGGTGTACCTTCTTATCCTCTACCTACCCCACGCTAATTCAGAACCAAGAAAATTAGGAATTTATTAATTTTTGTTTTGTCAGTTGTGAATTTTGAGCCATTTTGGAAAATGGCCGGTAGAGGAAATTCTAGTCGGCAGAAAAAGTCCAAAATAATATCAATTTTAATCAAAATAGGTATACTATTATTTCATTAGCGAGACTTGTAATTTTCAAGACTGTTTCTCTTTAAATTATTGTTTCTTTTAGCCACAAACTGAACTATTTTACAATTTTCTTAGCCGAACAAACTTTAAAATCTTCGGGACACTATATTATGACTATTGGGTAAGTATTCAACTTTTTAGGTGAGGGGGAGCACAGAAAACTTTAATTACAATAATTAATTGTAACAACTCATATTCTTATAAATAAAGTACAATTTTGTTGAGCTGTAATAAAATAAATATTTATATATGTTCAAACGAGCAGTCCCTAATTTTTTTTATTTTATGTTGCATTTGATTAAAATGGTAAATTTTAAAAAAACTAATCAAACATTTTTCAATTTAAAGTAAAGGTTCACAAGTCTGGAATGTAATAACAGTTCAAAATAATTTTCTCTCTTGATATTTCGAAACCGATAAAATGTATAACTTGGTAATTTGCTAGAAAGGGTTTCTGAAGAATATTTTTTTTCAAATTCAAGAACGTAGACGGGAAATTGACATTTTGGCGGTTTCTCATTTGAACCGGCTACTATGGATTAAAATGACAGGAAAAATCAGTAATATACCCAAGTCCTAACCTAACCTACCCGGGCCCCCCCCCCTTTTGGGGGCATTTTTTTTGTTGCACCTTCGACCGATCGATCTAGTCGTTTTCTCAAGGAACCGTTAAATTTTTAACATATATTTTTTTTTCGTGGACTTTATTTAATATTTAAACGCCCAGTTCGATGTGAAAAGCGGTTGGGGTCGATCACGACGACTTACTCGAGTAGAGCAGAATAAGCTGCGAGTACGTGGGCGCATTCGGGTAACATGGTCACAACGGTGTCGGTGCTGGATGAAATCTCCTGGAGGGTATCTGCAGTGTTGGCAGCTCCGTCGGACTCTTCTCGGAACAGCTCCATCCTTTTGGCACTTACATCGTTACCGATGACCGTATAACCCTGTGCGATCATGAATTTTTTGAAATTATCCACGTGGATAAGTTATTTAGCGTGAGAGTATATGAACAATAAATCGGCATTGATCAATTTGACGTAGGACATTCCGAATTTTTCGGAAAATAATTGCTGCGATTTTGGAGTTTTTCTTTTTGGAAACATTAATGTTATATTTAACATAGTTTACCTGTTTCGGTATGGTCTAGAGCACCATCAACACTTGTATTTCCAGAGTTCTTAAAGTTTGGGAAAAGTGTAGTGTTGATATGCGTGCAATGCACTACTGTACCGCGCACGACCTTCCATTCGGAATTTTAAACTTTAATAAAAATTATTCTAACTATTTTATATATATATATATATATTTGTTACATTATATTAGTTTCAAAAGTTGATAGAGCTCTGGAAATTACTAAAAAAAAATAAGGTAAACATTCGGTTATTTTACAATAATTTTAAATAATATAACGAAAAAGATAAAAATTTAATTATTGTCCAATAATGTAGAATAGGTAACAAAGTGTCCCCAAAAAAAAAGGTGCAAAATTGCAATTATTTCAAGGAAAAAATTAGTGTTGTCTTATTCTTGATGTACAACTCTGTACATATTAGGGTAGACCAAAACAATTTTTTTTAAATTTTATTTTGTTATTATTTCTATTGTATAAAAATGTCATCTATTTTTTGTTTTAGATCTCTAATAGAACTGTTCAAGAGATTTGTCTAATTTTTCGAATTTCTTCAAGGGATAAATTAATAGATAGTTTAAGACAATTATCATGCAGGAATAGTTGAAAATACCTATTTTTAAAAAGGCAGTGCGGTCATTGATGATCAGTGCAAACATTCACTATATATATAATTTTCTTGTATAATTTTTTTGTATATGGGGTTATTGTTGTTGTAAAAAAAAATAAACAATACTTAAACATAATTTGCTTACATTTTTCAATAAGTTTTTTGCCATCGGTATGCCCATGTTGCCGAGACCGACAAAACCGACGACGTTGGATTTCCATCGCTTGTGAACTTCTGCAACAAAACATAACAAGTATGTTTTTTTTTTTGTACTTAAAGACACACAATGGATTATTAAGAAGGACAGGCGATCGAGACCTTGATCGCGTATCCACCCTAATAAGTACTAAAAATATAATTTTTCAATGGTTTTAATTATGCGTATTTCCCAATCCGTCCACTCCCCCCAAAAAAAAAGGTTTAGTAGATTATTATTCTAGACTCGGTAAAGTTTATAAAATATCATTTTAAGAAAATTTGAAATAATTCAATTATATTTGTTGTTTATTATTGATAACAATAAATAGGTTATCTAAACACTAAAGAAAATGTAAATTCATTTTTGAACTTTCTCACACCATGACGTCGGTTAGTCATGACGTTAGCAGCTGCTATGGCCACTGCTAAGATTAATTGATTAATCAAATCTATAAATATAAATTAATTGCTTACATATATTTAATATATATATATATATATATTTCTTAATGCATGTTTTTTATTGAGAATATTCTAATGCTCTGTATAATATTTTTAAATGATAAAGATTAATTATTGAAAAAGACTAATATTTAAAAATTAATGTACCAACACGATGACTCGAATGTAAAGATGTTAAAAAGTGTCAACAATAAAAATCAAGTGTACCTACAGTTAATTCTGTTGTGTGAACCTAATGTTGTTATGTAACAACTACTATTAGACGAATTTTTTTGAACTGATATGTTTACACCGGTACTATAGTGCATTTAATAATGTCTATTGTTTGTATTCCAGTTGGATATGAATAATTTTATGAATACTATAGCTGTTAGTCTAGTTATTTACTCAATTATAACTACAACACATATTTTTATATAAACGATAAATAGTATAACATTCAGATAGCTTATCTGAGTTTAAACTGAAATGTTTAATGTTTGGTTATTATGCCCCTATTGAAACGATAGGTGAAAACGTTTTGTTTCTCAAAGAATATTTTATGTTATATCAAAATGAATGCTGATGGCTTCAAAAATAAGGCAATAAATTGATTAGAATTTGGATTTCTTTGTGATTTTTTTCAGCCAAAGTATTCTAAATAATGTTGTTTAATTGGCTTATACGATTTTTTCTTTCTTTTAGTTGTATTGTAATATAGTTGTTAGCTAATTTGTGTAAGATTATCTATCTTGTAGATTTGGCCGTAAATTATTTTAAATAAAAATGCATAACCTTTAAAATGTTTTAAATTACATTTTTTTTTTGTCAAACTCAGGCTTTCAGAATATCATTTATATTTTACATGAAAGCAGAGAAATCCATTTAACGCGAGGAACTTTATAAAATAAAATGGCATTTAAATAATGTCGCCAAAAAGAATAACTAGAAATTTGTAATTATTTTCCGAGAAAAGTCTTTTAGAGTTTGAATTAATTTCTGTAAGTAAATATCAATAAGTAAGTAAGTATTAATTTTATTAGGCATTAGTAAGTAAAAAATATTAACTTTATTAGGTATTAGTAAGTAAGTATTAATTGTATTAGGTATAAGTAAGTAAATATTAACTTTATTAGGCATTAATAAGTAAATATTAACTTTATTAGGTATTAGTAAGTAAGTATTAATTTTATTAGTTATTAGTAAGTAAAAAATATTAACTTTATTAGGTATTAGTAAGTAAGTATTAATTATATTAGGTATTAGTAAGTAAGTATTAATTATATTAGGTATTAGTAAGTAAATATTAACTTTATTAGGTATCAGTAAGTAAGTATTAATTTTATTAGGCATTAGTAAGTAAGTAGGTATTAGTTTTATTAGGTTTCACATACAAAACCGATGGAACTGGTCGTATGGAAAATATTATGAAACGAGGAGACAGCTGTAGATGATTTATTGCTTTTCGCGGTAAATCTATTAATTATTATTAACACCGTTTTCGGGCGATTCGGTTTGTTCAAAAGAAGCCAAAGGTTGGCTTTTTGGCGTTGGGTGAGATACAATTTGATGAAAATTCCACAGTTAATTCTTACCTCGATTTGTGCTGGAAGTGATTTGCCGGCGACGGCGAAGCAACAGTAAACCGCGCAGAGCCGAGTGATTAGTTCCGTTCAACATGATTGTCGTTCGACAGACTGGCTAGCACATTAATTGAGCATATTTTACCTTTATTAATAATTTAAATAATACACACGCAGACTAGAGCGGATGTATCGACAAAAAACCGAATACAACAACCGATAGAGTGCGCGCCGAGTGGCTTAACGACAGGTTGCAGTTTTCGAATAGGTACTATTACACCCGCATTGAATTGAGTCTTACAATACAAAGGTAATAGCTGTAGCAACCAGCTGCAGTCGTCGGTAAAGATGTCCGTGGTGTACCGGATGTTCTATTTTCTCGTTATGAAAAATATTTAATATTAACAAAAACCCAATCCAATGAGATATCCAGTGGATTACATTAAAACAATCGCCCTACTGTATATTATATAGTACATTCCCATTTAAGTTTCAAAAGTTCTTGACGGTCTGGAAAACACTATAATAATTACATCTAAACATTTGGTAATGTTACAATATATATATATATTGAACAATGACACGGTATTAAAAAAAAAAACGCTGCGTCTTTACATTAAACGAATCGCTCTGTACAGTCTGCCCGGGTCGTACTCGTGTAATATACTTTGCTCGATTAGATTGTGTTATCTTAATAGTGCACAGTTAACCTGTTTTGACTTTATAATAATATAGTAAACAGCCAAGCCGACGGAGCAGACAAAGCAGCTATTCGGTTCCCGACTGGACGGATAAACTAATTTTAAAGATTTAAACTTTAAACGACTGTACTCAAACGGCATAAGCTGCTGTATACTCGTTTAAAAACAATGCGATTATACCGGAAAAAAAAATAAATATATTAGCTTCGATAGCTGAGACTTAACTTAAATAAACTTCTTGATTGGCCAAAGATACTTTAGCAAATTTGCCCTAGTATTATTATTTTTAGTAGGGTTCCCCGCTCAGGGATTTCAACCTTGAACACATATCTCCACTCCGCTTGAATTAAAATGTATTATTTGTACATAAACTATTATTATTAATAATTATCGAACATAGTAAAAAAAAAAACACACAGTTTAAGTGCATGTGTATATTTATTAATAATTTGTTACATAAAATGCTATTTTAATTAAATTAAATTTTTTATTTTCGTTGTTATGTAGTAATATAACGCGACATATTGTATTTATCTAAACCCTAAACGAATTGAAATGATGGAATTTGTTTAGTTGGGGAGCATAGTAGGTATTGAAGTACAAGTTTAGTGTATTCTACCACTTGAAAATACTAGGCACACATTTTTTGCAGTGTATGGAAATCTTTATTGAAGCATCTCGATTTAAGCTGGACGTCTTGTCCATAATTGTTCTAAAAGTTAATTGCTACTGAATTCGTAAGATGTCACTCCTTTATTATTATTATTTATCCAGCGGAAACGGATATTCCGGATGATTCTCCCATCTGCAAAAGCAAAGTAGCGCATTGAATTACAAAACAAGTTGATGAATAATGATTCAATTGTTGTGTGAAAACATTTCAGCCGAAGTGAGTATTTTTTTTTTTTTTTTGTTATATACAAATATTATTTACATAAATCAAGTCAACCGATTTCATAATCGTCTATTCATTGTAGTGTTACTTAATTATTACTTACTTTTTGAACATCGACTTCAATAAACGACCGCTTTCGCCTTGATCTTGTCCGTTTAGAGTGTCCACGTCGTCTTGGTCCAAATCGAAGTCAAACAACTGTCAACAGTGTTGCATTTAACGCACTTTCCGACATTTAGCTAGAACAATACCCTTCCCTGGCTCCGTTTAGAAGCCAAAAAGAAGACGTTTACCTCAATATTTTCCGTTAAACGTTTGGGGTTTGTGCTCTTCGGTATGACTGCTATGCCTTTTTGCGTGAGATGACGCAGGAGTACTTGAGCCGGAGTCTTGCGGTGTTTATCCGCAATCTTTACCACAAACTCGTTGTCCATCATGTCTGGCAGGTCTTTTCTGCAAGCACATAAGCACACAACAATATGCTGACCGAGGTCCTTACATCGTGATTGCTTACACCGTTTGCAGTCCGAACGATTCCCGAGCTGCCCTCGAGCCCAGACAAGAATAGGCCGTGACCGTGACACCGTTGTCTTTGCAAAAACCCACTAGTTCGGGTTGCTGGAGGTACAAGTGAATTTCCACCTGAAGGTTATCCGGTTTGATCCTGCAGTTGTCTATTATGTTTTTCAACTGTTTCGCGTTGAAGTTGGACACTCCAATTGCCCGGCAGCGTCCGTTGTCCACTTGTTCTTCCATCGCCTAGTTAACAAGAAAGAATATCTTTAAAAAAAAAAGTATCTACAAAACCACGCAGCACCTGGGGTAGTGTCGAAGAAGATGGACAGGAAGTGAATGGACGGGTCGACTTGGTAGTGTCAAGATCAATCTGGCCGAAGGAGACGATTCCGCATGCCACATTCTCCCATACACAAGAAGGGTAACAGACAATTATGCAATTAATTCAGAGGTAAATCTGTGTACTAGATAAAGTCAACCGATTGGCTGAAAATATATTAGAGGACCATCAAGCCGGGCGTTCCAGAAAAATGCGGCTTATGACCGTTGTGTCTACCAACGAGGTTAGTTGAATTAATAAAGAGTTCCATATTTGTAATTGAGTGTAATCTTTACCGTCCAAATTTTTAACAGGTCAGTAGTGTGGTCGACTTCCATTTCAAAAAAATTTTGTGTATCATCTCCAATCGCTGCAAACGGCGCGTGTATCAGATACAAGTCGACATAATCCAGTTTCAGGTCGTTCAAAGACTTGGTGAGATATTTCTCCACGTCTTCAGAGCGGTTTCCGTAGGCGGGCAACTAGAAATAGTAGAGTATAGTGTATAGTCGATAGCGTTATAATAATATTTCCATACACAGGTATCGTTATTCGTACCGCGAACACTTACTTTGGTGACTACAAACAGCTCTTCTCTGGTCAGTTTACCAGAAGTGATCCATTCGGCCAGAACTTCTCCAATCACCCGTTCATTATGGTAAACTCTAGCAGTGTCAATGTGCCTATAGCCGACTTTCAGAGCTTCGTTCAGTGCTATTTCTAGTTCGGTATCTGCGGCCTGTGTCGTTTGAATAGTAAAAATTAAAACGTCGAGAAACATTTAAAAGGGAACGGAAACGGTCAAATTTCAGCCCCAAAGAATAGATTAGTAGTTAGCCTCACGTGGAAAAAATGTAATCCTTCTAATAGATACCCAAGCCAAAAAGTGACTTCTGCGAAAGGCAATTTTTATTGAACTTTTGCCACAAATTTAATGTCTTTTAACTAGACAAACTTACTATGTAATTACATTCAAATTGGTTGGCATACCTAAAATGGCTCTTACATCGGATTTGTGTCAAATATTGCCAACAGTGCACTATTCTAGCATGCTAACATTTATTGCGGTGTAATTTAATAGTTTTGCAATTCTCACCGTCCAAGTGCCATAGCCGACAATCGGTAGATTGCCTCCGGATTGAAACTTAAGGTGATCCATAATGTTCAGCTTTTTTTTTCCGATTGCTTCTCGATCCGATCAACAAGGACGGTCGTAGAACACTGTGATGGTTTTGTCCATAACTACAAGTTAATACCGGTCGACATGACCTCGACCGCCCCAAAGCTAAAACACGCCCATTGCAACTAAAAAATAACTGCAATTCAAGTTTTTTTCCGTTTAAATAAAATATTAGCCGACGACGACACGAGGTCGCAATATTTCAATAATGAGCATTCGATGCCTACTAAAATATGTAAAATATACCAGCTATAATAATACATAATTGGCCGACCTACGGTCTAAGGTTTTTTTAATATTAAAAAAAAAAAATCTAATATTAATATTCAATTTTAGCAGGCTTTGTAGGCAAGCACGTAAGACTACCCCCTTCTAAATTATAGGGTAGTTTAATAGTCAATATGTTTACTCATGATGTTTTATCTCAATCTAAAAGGCACGCTTTATTTTCCAATTACCTGTTCTATACTACATTATGAAATGATAATTTGGTTGTTCTGTTTAGCAGTAATACAGTATAATCTCATATCCACAACGGTGCATATTTTTGAAAAGCATTTTATTAGGAATTGTCTCAAACACAGCATTACTATTTTATAATATAATATTGTATATTTAGTTAAAAACGAGAGCGTAACAATTTAAAACTAGGCGTGTTACACAAGTAATGGGAATATTGACAATCTAACAAGCCATTACATTTTGTTCGTGCTCTTTAATTTGTTAATATAGTATAAAACGACTTAAGCGACAAACGATAATAATTCACTATTATGTATTCTGGTATGAGAACTCAAGTGGATGTGTGAACATTATATTCTGAGTGTTTTCATTCTCTATTGCATATCTGTGGATTTTATTTTTCTTCATTCGTCAACTGGAAATGGGAATTCCGGGTGGCTTTGAATGCTGCAAATATAATAATAATTATTGATAAGTAAGTATGTTTTCTTAGCCTTTCGTTAACTTCTAAAATTAAAATCAATCTTTACGCCTATGACAAGCGATGACTGTTGAGAATTAAATTTAGCTACATGACAGGTATTGCTGGGCTGTTAAGATTTGAACGAAAGAGCACTTGCCATCAACACATCATCTAGTTGCTAATGACTAGATATTAATAAGTACTGTTTAACGATTATTACTTGTTGAAAAAGTGGAACTTTATTATGCGTCCTCCTTCGCCTTGATCCTGTCCGTTTAGTGCGTCCATTTCTTCTTGTGCCAATTCAAAGTCGAACAACTAGTGGAAAGAAAAAATCAACAAACGGTTAGGTTGGGTTATGCTACGCTATATCAGTAGGGTGTGGTTGTACTTGAATATTTGCAGCCAAACGCTCTGGGTTCGTACTCTTTGGTATGACTATTATGCCTTTTTGGACGATGTGGCGCAGAAGAATTTGGGCCGGAGTTTTGCCATGCTTTTCGGCTATCTTCAACACGACTTCGTTTTCCATTAGCTCGGGAAGTTTTTTACTGCAAACATATACTTATGTGTACAATAGTTGTTTCGGTGAAGTCTCGAGTGCGGAGTTAACTGCAGAGCCAGAGCTCCTTAGGGAGAAGGGTCCCCAGAAAAATGCTGCAACATCAGTCTCCGGCTCTCTGTGTCTTAGTGTGATTGTCGACTTACGCTGTAGTGATTCCCATCAATTCTCGGTTGCCCCTCGAACCCAAACACGAGTAGGCCGTCACTGTGATGCCGTTGTCTTTGCAGAAAGCTATCAGTTCGGGTTGTTGCAGGTACAAATGGTGTTCGACTTGAAGATTGTCCGGCTTTATCCTGCTGTTGTCCAAAACTCTTTGCAATTGTTTAACGTTGAAGTTTGACACCCCGATGGCTTTGGCCCGGCCTTTGTCCACTTGTTCCTCCAACGCCTTTTAAAACGAATAATCGCAAAATGTCACACTGAAATTGCCACAGTTTTTCGTTTAACGTCATAACAATAATAATTGTGTACCTTCCAAGTCTTCACGTGGTCGGTCGAAGGGTCTATTTCCATTTTTGAATAATCGCCAGGAACTTTGTCTAACAAGCTGAACGGCGTGTGTATCAGAAACAAGTCGAGATAATCTAGTTGCAAGTCCTTCAATGATTTCACCAGACATTTCTCTACGTCTTCCGGACGGTTGAGGTACGGCGGAAGCTGAAACAATATAATTATTTTACGTTTCACAAATGGTGTGGAAAATTCAATGTTTAAATATCATATCATATCATACCTTGGACGTGATGAACACATCGTTTCTGGTGATCTGCCCGGACTCGAACCATACTTTCAAAACGTTTCCAATGACATGTTCGTTGGCATAAGCCGTAGCCGTGTCGATGTGCCGGTATCCCGCTTTCAACGCTTCGTTCAGAGCCGCTTCCAGCTCGCTATCTTTGGCCTATACAAGAAAACATAATATTTGAAACTAATCGTTGGGCTGTCATCTTCAAATCTACAACTAATGTAGCAACTAAACAGCGGTGCTGTGATGGCAAATAACATAACATAAAATCAATGCACGCAACACTATAGTTTGGAGAAAAAAGTGGGTGATCATAGTTTGTTTTATGCTTGCAAGATATAACTTCTTCGGTTAGCCGATAGTGCTCTATTTTTATAAGAAAATGTAAACCGCAATCAATTCTAAAGTATAATGTTTACTAGGACAGTGGAACGGGACTGAAAATCTAGTATAATATACAGGGTGTTCCAGCATGAAAATTAAGTAAAGGTGATTAGACATTTGGGGGACCTCCAAATAAGCCCCCCGTTTTCATTTTTTCGATAAGTCAAAAATTGAAGGTTTCGATAGTTAAAAAAAAAAATAATGACTTTTAAAAAAAAAAAATTATTCCCTGTTTATCAGTGCAAAAAGCTCACCTTAAAAGAGAGGACACATCATTTTCAATCCTTTTCGGCCCATAACTCAAAAAATGAGAAGAGTAAAATAGTTAGAGACCAGAAATAAATGATAAGTGATAAAAGATAAATGCTAAGAGATAATAGCTAAGAGATAAAAGAAAAGAGATAATTGATAAGAGATAAATTATGAGAGATTAGAAATAAATGATAAGAGACTAGTGGTAAGAAATAAATGATAAGATAAGTGATAAGAGAAGAGTTAGGGGCTGAAAAAGACTGAAAATGATGTGACTCCTCTGTTAAGGTGAGCTTTTTGCACTGAATAAACATGGAATAATTTTTTGTTTTTTTAGGTCATTATTTTTTTACTTAACCGACAGTTAAGTAAAAGAACCTTCAATTTTTGACTTATTGAAAAAAAAGAAAACGGGGGGCTTATTTGGGGGTTCTCCAGATTTCCAATCACCTATTACTTACTTTTCATGCTGGAACACCTTGTATATTATTTTTCCCGTGTTAGCTATCCAGTAGGTCAGGTACAATGCACACCTGTTCAAATGTGTATTTAATGTGATTTATATACCATTTAAACTACTTTGTCCGTCATTGAAATTCATATTGTAATTTTTCGGTGGCAATTATATCGTTTGCGCTACACCACAACCTACCACGAGCAAGCAATGCACAATAATTACTCATAATAAATATAATAATACAGCAATTATTTTACCTGTAATGGAGGATAATATTTTACCAACGCAATTAAATAGTTGTTGGAAAATCGCTAATAATATTTTACAAACCGTTTTACCGGATAAGTCTAGAAGTTATGCAGCCATACACATCTACATAGACGCACAGCTACTGATAAATACTCGACAAATAAGTCATATAGATAGCTATAGTATAGTCCATATTTGGGAGATAATAATATTATGATATTTATGATGTGGTCAATTAAATAATTATATGGCAATATTTTTGTCGCCAAACAAATCAATAGCTTTGGCTATTTTTAGTTTAGCGTCCAAAGTGAAGAATAGAATAGATCAGAATGATTTTTTCAAACATGTACTTAAGAACTGTTGTTAAGTTTGCCATTGACCCGTCAAACAGATGGCCTATATAAAAATAACGAGAAATTATAAACCCGACATTTTCTTTTGACTATTACCGCAATTCATTGTACACCGACATACAATAGTTATAAAAGAAACCAATGCCAATATGCGGTTTTTACAACGACAATACCCCAAAATATTGCATTAATCAATGAGATTAATAATAATAATAAATCATCAATCAAATTTCGATGAATTAAAACGTTTATATTCTCATAACAAACAACGCATATTGACCTATTATTTATTATGATAGCCGTACAACGACATGTAGGTTAGCACCGAAAAACGATTATTGTCAGCACGAGCTAACATCCTTGCTAATAAAACAAAAAATATATGTATAATAAAGAAAATATTACGCTTATTTTAAATGACCTCAGGAATATTGGCAACTCACATTGGAAATGATTATTCTCAATTAAAATAGTAATTCTGGAGAGACTATATTATTAAAATAACATCACCAGGTAGCTGTTATACTATAACAGGCCTTGAAGACCCAACGCTGTCATCATCATAAGATGACAAAATATACAGTTTTAACAAACAAATACCAAATGCCGTTATTTTTTAAAAATTTTACAACGATTTAATGTGGTTTTTTTTCCAACTCACCTTTTATTTACTTTACATTGCCTGAACGATTTGGGTTTTTGTACAATATTCATAATATATACATTTATTTAAAACATACTTCTAATCTGTACACATTGATGGGCACAGGGAAAAACCAGGAAAGTCACTATTTTTTTTTTTAATTTTCATAAACAGCCATTTAAAAAAAAAAATAATTGCCTGTTTTTTCTTTTCGTGTATAATATATACATATTATATTATAATAACAGCTAAGGTGCAGAAGTTTTCAACAATATAAATCATACATACATTTTGTTCGTCCGATTGTGTCTGAAGAGAGCCAAAACGAAAATCGGTAAGTTATAAAAAAATAATTAAAAAATTTAGACAATACACCGTATATTTTTCGGTTAAGGTTTTTTTGTTTAGCCAACCAAACAAGTGGTTGAATGTGAACAGGATTAAAGCAAGACAGATTATTCTCACCTGCCATGTGCCATAGCCGACTATAGGTATGCTTCCTTGACTGTACTGAAATTTGACGTTTTCCATGGTGTGTGACGATGGGTTTTTTGCTTTTGGGTGGATATTGTATACTGTATACAGCAAGGCGAACCGGAATGTACTGGCAAGTGTGTGTCGTTACCGACAAAAATACTGCATTCGCTTTCACGCTTGGCAACGGCCTTGATCTTTACTGTAAACACAAGGAGGGGAGAGACTACTCCGATGCGTTTGTTGTTATTATTGTTACATAACACTCGACGTTAGTAAATAAGTGTTTAAGGGCATTTATGTGAAGACAATTGATTTCCATCAAAACAATTATTACAGTTTATTAGTTTTTCGTTTTGATAAATATTTAACCAGTCGAAATTTTCAACCATTTATTCTTAATAAAATTCTTAATTCACTATAGAACAAAAGTTATTCCGTCTGTCAAATTTGTGTGGGCCACTCTGTATAAATTTATATATATATATATATAATATCCTTTTTAAAAATATGTTGCTGAGCGTTGTATGTTTTTTAGCCCTTAAATGTAAAGTATCGATGATTAGTTTTGACAAATTTCTTTAAAGGTTATTAAAGTTTTGAAATTTAGCTCGGGAGAAAAGGTGGTGTTTAGTTGTTGACAGTGTTTTAGAAAAAATTTAAATGATTTAATGATTAAATGTACCGCCATAATAATATTATATACCTAAGGTAAAATGTTTAATAATTTTTTTGTCCATTTCAATGTTTATTTTTATACATTTACAGCCGGTGTCACCAACTATTATTAAATACACTCTTAACATCTGGTTAAATTAAGTAAGCCTCACCGTAACATTAATGCTATTAAATTATACTTGTTAAGTTAACAAAATGTTAGTTGGGTTACCAAAGCGGTTACCTTGATTCCTTGGTTATCACGAAATGTGATAACTGATGAGTGATAATATTATAATCAAATCTCAAATAGTAGTAATGTATAATTCGACCTATGGCGTTTTAACATGCCAATTAATTTTTTAACTAGCCGATTTCGGTTGATTAACTTACCAATCGTTTTATATAGTGTAATTTATAAATAAATAATATTTAATTCGTATATTTTTTTTATTATTTGTTTTCTTAAAAAAATATTTTGTTTTTTGAAAAAATATCACAGGAAGTGTTTGTTATTAAGGAAATAATTTGAAAAAATTCGTGTATCACATACATCTATGGAATAATTATTTTATTAAGGTTTTTGCTATTTTAAAACATTTGCTAAATTTATTTAAAGTCAAAATGTTACACGATAAAAGTATTAAACATTTTTATTTGTATTTGTTTCAAAACCGTTTTGCATATAGGACTTTTGTCCGAGATTTTCTCAATTGGGGTTAATTAAAAAAAATGTACTGTACCTAATAATATAGCATACAATACTATATTATTGGCATAAAATGTTCGAAAATGGTTCTTATTGAGCAGCAATAATACATAAGGAGTCGAAACAGACTAAATTGTTAAAATATTGACATTTATTCTCAGCCGCACACCAACTACAGTTCTGAATTTTAATCTAAAATAACTTTAAAAAAATTATTCAAATTCGGTTATCGATTAGTCAAAATGTTCAGTAAATTATTCTTAATTATACAAGCTCATTAAATATATACTTTTTATAAGGTGATGGAGTTCCAGCAAATAATAAAAAAATATAAAATTGGAATATTGTCTCCTATAGTAAAATAGTACAAACAAAAATGTTTTCAAAAAGAAACACTACAAAGCTGAAATTTTTTATGAGAGTAAACCAGTGTAAGGCGTTGATAGAATCATCTGGCTTGGAACAGAAAACAATTTGTTTATGCGGACAACTAAGTAACACTTGTACAACTATAAATAAAACCTATATGGTGCACTGTGAACCAAATTCGAAAAAAATAAGACGTAGTGCGTTGCTGTGTGTAATAGTTATCATGTTGTATCGTAGATTTTCGGCGATATTGATTCTACTCTTGAAGGTGCTTATTGGACATTCCATGCCCCCTGTCAGACAGTTTGACACCGGCTACACGTATACTGCCATAGGAGACACCGAAAGCCGTGAAGAAGATTTAAAATGCGCATACTTATTGAGTAGCCTGGAGCACATGCGGTTGACCGGATTGCAGTTGCCGCATCCTCTTTGCCGCATCTCCAAGACGATAACCAACATAAAGTCATACGAATGGTCCATAAGAGGTCAACTAGCTACCCTGTACGAACTGCAGAGACCACGTTTTGGTGCTCTGTGGCTCGTACTGTTGTACACTGGCAATGTAAAAGATTACAAGATCGGACTGTTCGATTCCGGATACAATAAAGAATATACGCTTGAGAAAATTCTGAGCACTCACAACTACGTGATCGGCAAATTGGAATCGGAAGCCAGCGGATGTCGCGAAGGTAACCGATTCGGCCCAAACCAAATGCCGTTGACCGCCCAGCAGATGTCCAACCCGGTGGCCATAACAGACCTGATAGAGAACAACAAAAACCAAGTCAGAAACTTGTTATTTTTTAACTGGGATACTTGGCAGTTGACGTACAATCATTTCTACGAAATAAACGTGAAAAAACTTTTCATGTACAATTTCGGCACGATCCCGGACCACGTGGTCCCCTTCATGACACGGTATAACGTGAAAATGGACTGGTCGAACACCGGTGCTCGTTTACACGCTACTTGGATCGGTGCACGAGACCTCGATTGGACCAACAACGATCTTCAGCCGATCAAACTATACCTCACGACGGTTTACGAATTCATCAAGGTGATATTTTTACGCCTTACGCGGAAACATCTTTTGTACTTGACAGCGGTTAAGGTTCCACACCGACATACCTTTGTGCAAGAATGGTTCGTCTTGCTTCAGAAATTCGCAAACATTTTCGTCTTCGTCGACGACCCGCACATCGCATACTTGCTGAACGCGTTCAACTCGGGATTGATCGTCCGCCGGAACACTATCGAAAATCTCATAGAATATGTCAAAGAGGCGGTTTCGAGGACTTCCGTTTTACTCGGTTGTACAGCGATTGAGCCACTGACTATCACCGACGATACAGCATTGCTGCCACGCGGTACTTACATCCCGAATACTGATCGTAGTCGTTTGCGCATCCGAATAAATGCAATGCCGATTGCAGATATCAGTCTGATGAACGCTTACGACTTTTTGGACCGTGTCAAAATGACATTTAGAAACATAAATTTTGATGTCACTAGGAGGTTTGTGGACTACATCGATGAACTACATGCGTTCAGGCTATTTTGAAGATACGGGCTGTGCACTTAAGTTGCTTATGTTATAGCTTCGTTAAAATTATACAATTACAAATTGTGACTTGTGTCGTTTTCTTCAATAAATAATTTACTGAAAGTCGTGTTGACTTTGTTTCTTTGAATTATGAGTCATTACTAGTAATTAGTTATTTTTGGCATGCGTCAAAAATTGTTTATTCAGGGTGCCTACAGGTCAACCAATTGTGTCAATCAGAATTATTAATATGCTTCAAAAATAAAGGTAAAAAATTCTAATGAATAACTATATTGTCTCGCCTTTGGCTTTTGTCTCAAGATCTATGGCTGACCCTCTCGTGATCAAACGGCATATTACTATGTCAGGTCGGACCTGACAGTGATGGGTCGCTTGATAAATGCGACATTGTAATAATATTATTATTATTATTCATTTATTTACGTACATCTATATTTTCAAAAATATGTACAATATGTATAGTGAATACTAAACACATTACATTGGTAGTAGAGTTCACTCTTAAAAATATAATAATTTAAATTCAATCGACTTAATTTGAGAATCACAACAACACATAACGGCCGCTAGTCCAAGAATACTTTAATTGTAATAATTTTGAAAAATTAATACTTCTTAGACAAATGAAAACTGGTGTATAAAATGTAAGTGAATATTAATTTAGCTATTTTTTTTCTTATTCTAGTTATATTATTTAAATGTTAAATGTTTATAATTAAAAAAAAAAAATTATATATGAATACTACTTACATAATACTACATACTTATAAATATTAAATACAACCAAAGAAACAACTTTTATTGCTGTTTTACGGTTTCTAAACAATCGTTGTTTTTACTAAAAACGAACCGAGAAGATATAATGTGTTGTATTAGATACTAAAATATTTACAACATATGTACCACATTGGTTCTCGCTAAAAAGTAAGAATACATTAATAGTAAAAACAAGCTGAATTGTTCAAATATTGATTTTCATTGAACATCCAAGCTGCGATATTGTTTGTGATGAATAAAAAACAAAATGTTGTTGGTATCAATACTGGGTGATTTTTTTAAACGCCCTACATTAGCTAACTCTCAAAATAATTTAAGTTTTGTAGTGTTTATTTTTGGATATATATTTTTTTTGTTATAGTAAAATATTAGACAAAATTCACAATTTTAGTGTTTTTATTATTCGTTAATGCTTTAAAATGTTTTCAAAAGTAATACTAAAAAACGGCAAATATTTTAAGAGTAAACTTGTGTAAGGCATGAAAAGAATCATCTTGTATAAAACAGAAAACAGTTTATTTTGTCGACAACTAAATAACACTTACGAAACTGTACCAAATAAAAACATACATTGTGCAGTGTGCACTTGTATACCTAACCAAAGTCGAAAAAAAACGTAGTTTGCGAACGTGGCCGTGCTTAGCTGTGTGTTAAAAATGATCATGTTGTACCGTACATTTTTTTTGATAATAATTCTACTCTTAAATGTGCTTATTGGACGGTCCATGCCCCCCCTCAGACAGTTTGACACTGGCTACACATATGCTGCCATAGGAGACACCGAAAATCGTGAAGAAGATTTAAAATGCGGATACCTGTTGAGTAGTCTGAGGAACATGCAGTTGACCAGAGTGCAGTTGGCGCATCCATTGGCCAAAACCATTCTGACGTTGAACAACATAAAGCTTTACTTGCCAGTCATAAAAGATAAATTAGCTACCCTATACGAACTGAATATCCCGCGTTATGGTGCTCTGTGGCTCGTACTGTTGTACACCGGCAGTGCGGAAGATTACAAGAACACATTGTACAATTCGGGATACACTAAACAAGAAGTGCACGCAAAACTGCTTAGCATTCACGATTACGTGATCGGAAAATTGGAATCGGACGCCAGTGGATGTCGTGAAGGTAACCGATTCGACCAGGCCGAAATGCCGTTTACCGCCCGGCAGTTGGGCAAACCGGAAGGCATAACGCACCTGGTCAACAGCCACAAAAACTACATCAGAAGGTTGTTAACTTTTAACTACGATAATTGTCATTTGTCGTTCGATCATAACTCCAAATTCGAAGTAAATAAACTTTTCATGTTCGATTTCGGCACTATCCCGGGCAACGTAATCTCTTTTATGACACGGTATAACGTGAAAATAGACTGGTCGAACACCGGTCCGCGTATACAAACTGCTTGGCTCAATGCACGAGACCTCGATTGGACCACCAATGATCTTCAGCCGATCAAACTATACTTGACGACGGTTTACGAATTCATCAAGGTGATATTTTTGCGTCTTACGTGGAAACATCTTTTGTACTTGACAGCGGTTAAGGTTCCGCACCGTCATACCTTTGTGCAAGAATGGTTTATTTTGCTTCAGGAATTCGCAAACGTATTCGTCTTCGTCAACGACACGCACATCGCATACTTGCTGAACGCATTTAATTCAGGATTGATCGTCCGCCGGAACAATATCGAAAATATGATAGAATATCTTAAAGTGGCAGTGTCACGGACTTCAGATACTCTTGGTTGTATAGCGATTGAGCCAATCACTATTGCTGACGATATAGCATTGCTGCCACGTGGTTCTTACATTCCGAACACTGATCATGTTCGTTTGCGCATCCGAATACATCCAATGCCGATTGCAGATATCAGTCTGATGAACGCTTACGATTTTATGGACCGTGTCAAATGGACATTTAAAAACATACATTTCGATGTCACTAGGAGACTTGTCGACTACATCGATGAACTACATGCGTTCAGGCTATTTTGAAGATACGGGCTGTGCACTTATGTTATAGCTTCGTTAAAATTATACAATTACAAATTATGATTATTTAATTTTCTTTAATATATATATGTTGACTTTGATTCCGTGAGTAATGAGTAACTTTCATTAATTTTGGCATGCGTCAAAAATTGTTTATTCAGGGTGCATACAGGTCAAACAATTGGTTTAATAAGAATTATTAATATGCTTCAAAAATAAAGGTAAAAAATTCAATGAATAATCATTTCTTCTCGCTCTTTGGCATGTCTCAAGGTCTATGTCTGACCCTCTCATATTCAAGCGACACAACACTATGTCAGGCCACTCATCATGCCAATATTATAGAAATTTGCACCATATCTTCTTTAGTCTCTTTTTGTAAATCGTATATACCATTATTTGTGTTATAACGATTTATGCAGTGAACCACATCAGAAGTATTAAATTCACTGTTTTCCTCGCTGTTTCCTAGGTTTTTCCGTGATAGCTATATGCATATTTTTTCCTGGTAGATACTTTAAATCGATGTCATACTCAAACAGTTTGATTCTCATCTTTTGCAACCTGTTTCAGGGGCTTCCATTAACGTTTTTATTCATTATTGATACCAGTGGCTTATAATCAGCCCACTCAGTAATTTTTCTACCGTAGATGAAATGTCTAAATTTATTACAAGCAAATATTACACTTAAGAATTATTTTTCAATTTGGACATACCAGACCTCTGTAACAGTTGAGCTCCTAGATGCACACGCGACAGGTTTCCTATCTTGCATCAAGCAAAATCCCAGTCAGTCCTTTGATGCATCACTTTAGATAACAATATCTATCCCTGGGTAAAAATATGCCAAACTTAGTGAATTTTCAATTCATTTTTTTAATTTTACAAATGATTCCCCATGCCTCCTATTCCATTCCCATATAATGTCATAGGTACACATACCTATTATTATTTGTAAATCCACTCTTTAATTAGGGTTTTTCAATTCCAAAATAGTTTTTACTTTATCTGGGTCCGGCCTCATACCATCTCCACCAATAAACTGTTTTTAGTTTAGAGTAACTATGTTTTTAAACTATCTACTTGGTTTGCAAGATGTTGCCACTCCTCCTCTATATATGCTATAAACTTATGCTACCTATTTTGTAATTTTCTAGCTCCGTTAAAATTATACAAATACAAATTATGTCTATGTAATTTTCTGCAATAAATAAGTTACCGAATGTTGTGTCGATTATTTTCTAAATAATCGATACTTAAATATTGCCTTTGGTGAAAACGAATCGAGAAAATATAATGTGTTGTATGAGATACTATAATATTTGCAACATATATTCCACATTGGTTCTCGTCGAGCAGCAAAAATACGTTAGCAGTAAAAACAAGCTGAATTGTTCAAATATTGACTTTTATAGAAAATCCAAGCTGATATATTGTTTTTGACGATTTAAAAACAAAACGTCGTTGGTATCAATACTGGGTGATTGTTTTAACGCCCTACATTAGTTTACTCTTTAAATAATTTAAATTTTGTAGAGATTCTATTTGGAAATTATTTTTATTATGTTACTGTGCAATGTTAGACGATATTCAAATTTTTATCATTTTTAGTATTTGCTAGAATTTGTAATGTGGTCAAAAGAAATACTAATAAAAAATTGCAAATATTTCAAAAGTAAACTTGTGTAAGGCGTTAAATAAATCACCTGGTATAGAACAGAAAACTATTTGTTTTGTCGACACCTAAATAACGCTTACAGAACTACCTATACGAAATAAAAACCTACATTGTGTGCACTTGTATACCTAACCAAAGTCGAAAAAAAACCAGACGTAGTTTGCGAACGTGGCCGTGCTTAGCTGTGTGTTAAAAATGATCATGTTGTACCGTACATTTTCTTTGATAATAATTCTACTCTTAAAGGTGCCAATTGGAAGGTCCGTACCACCCGTCAGACCGTTTGACACGGGCTACACGTATAACGCCATAGGAGACACCGAAAATCGTGAAGAAGATTTAAAATGCGGATACCTGTTGAGTAGTCTGAGGCACATGCAGTTGACCAGAGTGCAGTTGGCGCATCCATTGGCCAAAACCATTCCGACGTTGAACAACATAAAGCTTTACTTGCCAGTCATAAAAGATAAATTAGCTACCCTATACGAACTGAATATCCCGCGTTATGGTGCTCTGTGGCTCGTACTGTTGTACACCGGCAGTGCGGAAGATTACAAGAACACATTGTACAATTCGGGATACACTAAACAAGAAGTGCACGCAAAACTGCTTAGCATTCACGATTACGTGATCGGCAAATTGGTATCGGATGCTAGCGAATGTCCTGAAGGCAACCAATTCTCCCAAGCCAAAATGCCGTTTACCGCCCGGCAGTTGGACAAACCGGAAGGCATAACGCACCTGATCAACAGCCACAAAAACTACATAAGAAGGCTGCTGAATTTTAACTACGATAATTGTCATTTGTCGTTCGATCATAACTCCAAATTCGAAATAAATAAACTTTTCATGTTCAATTTCGGCACTATCCCGGGCAACGTAATCCCTTTTATGACACGGTATAACGTGAAAATAGACTGGTCAAACACCGGTGCTCATTTACAAGCTACTTGGTTCAATGCACGAGACCTCGATTGGACCACCAATGATCTTCAGCCAATCAAACTATACTTGACGACGGTTTTCGACTTCATCAAGGTGATATTTTTACGTCTTACGGCCAAACATCTTTTTTACTTGTTAGATGTGAAGGTTCCACACCGTCATATCTTTGTGCAAGAATGGTTTATTTTGCTTCAGAGATTCGCAAACATATTCGTCTTCGTCAACGACACGCACATCGCCTACTTGCTGGAAGCATTTAATTCAGGATTGATCGTCCACCAGAATAATATCGAAAGTCTCATAAAATATCTTAACAAGGCAGTGTCACGGACTTCAGATACTCTCGGTTGTACAGCGAACGAGCCAATCACTATCACCGACCTTGCCAACGATATAATGTTGCTGCCACGTGGTACTCCCATTGCGAATACTGATGAAGATCGTTTGCGCATCCGAACTCATACAATTCCGATTGCAGAAATCAGTCTGATGAACGCTTACGACTTTATGGACCTTGTCAAATGGACATTTAGAAACATACATTTTGATGTCACTAAGTTGCTTGTGGACTACATCGATGGACATCATGAGTTCAGACTATTTTGAAGATGTGGGCTGTATACTTAAGTTGCTTATGTTATAGCTTCGTTAAAATTATACAATTACAAATTGTGACTTGTGTCGTTTTCTTCAACAAATAATTTACTGAAAGTCGTGTTGACTTTGTTTCTTGAATTATGAGTCATTTATATTATTTTTTGCATGCGTCAAAAATTGTTTATTCAAGGTGCATACAGGTCAACCAATTGTGTCAATCAGAATTATTAATATGCTTCAAAAATAAAGTTAAAAAATTCTATGAATAACTATTTTGTCTCGCCTTTGGCTTTTGTCTCAAGGTCTATGTCTGACCCTCTCGTGTTCAAACGGCACATTACTATGTCAGGTCGGACCTGACAGTGATGGGTCGCTTGAAAAATGCTACATTGAAATAACATTATTATTATTATTATTTATTTACGAATAACTATATTTACAATAATATATTCAATATGTGTAGTAAATGCTAAGTACGTGAAATTGGTAGTAGAATTCACTATTAAAAATATAATAATATAAGTGATCACAACTATAATCATAACATAACTCTCTCTTTTGCATGGTCAAATAGGTAGTTTACAGAAGCTCAAATAGAATAATTAAATAATTATACAGAATATCCGTTTGTGTAGTATACAGATCCACTCATGTCCTTAATATACCTGATAAATTGTATCCTTTAAATGAAATTAAGTATTAGATCAAACTAATAAACAATGTTAAATATAAGTCAATTTTGTGACTAATACAATAATAAAAAAAACATAAAAATAGTTAAATAAAATATATGATAATGTTATAATGAGTATATAAATAGATATAATAAATTGTATAGATTTAATGATATAATCATATACATTGATTGAAGAATCTAGTAAATTAATTTTGAAAAAGTCGTTCCAATATCTATAAATATAATAGTATATAAAGAAAGATAAAATATTTGTTAACGGTTTCTTATTGGTTTTAAATACAAAATTAACATTTGTTATTTGTAAAACGATTTTTTTCCAACAATACAATTTATTAGTGTGTTTTAGCCCAGTTGGAACGAAGAGGTCACTCTTCTTTAGGAATTGTTATAATCGAAAGTGATAAAATAAATTTCAAATAAATGTTTCAGTGCGAAAATATAGATGGTATTACCTATTCAGTATAAATATAAATTATTAGCTTGGAACATGCTTGGCAGTCTTGGCTCCCAGCTCGCGAACGACACAAAACATCGACACGAAATGGCGTCACGAAAGTAGCGCGAAAGTGGCGCGATCTACTTTATATGGCTTACTTATTATTATTATTGTATTGCCGTCGTCGTGCAAACGTTCAGCCAGAACATATAACTAAGACTACACTATCATCATAAATCGCAAGGAGATTATAGATAAAAAAGAATCATTATTCAGGAGCCAACAGGCTAAAGCATGTTCCATGTTTTATAATATTAGCCGTTAGGCTTTTAAAAGGACTATAACTGATTTTCTAGATTATTGAAATATGTACATAATCGTTCTGTTTGAGTTGTTGAATATTCCTTGACCAAAAAGGGTAACTCCGGAACACCAACTATAGTGCCCAACCAGCCAAGTAACAAAAAAAAATTGAAATCAATGATTTAAATTTAAATTTTGTCGGATATCATTTTTTGGAAACCTATATAAAAGTAAAAATATTATTTCGTTGATATCATGTTTTGAACATAAAATAACAAGGTATTAATAAATCCCAAACATATACAAATCTATTTTTATAATAAGTCCTATCACTTTAAATAAAAAACAGAAATTGAGTGGTTTCAACTTTAGTGTTTCTTGATTGGCCAAAAATGCTTTTACAAATTTGCCCTAAAATTGTTATTTTTAGTAGGGTTTTCCCCAGAGGGATTTCAATGCTATTTTTGCATTCAACGGTAATTTATGTCAAGTCCCAGCGAAAGTTTGTATATAGCTCAGTATTTTAAGCTAATTAAGAATTAATAGTTGGAATTGCACGATATTTAGTTCTATTCAAAATAATAGGACTTATTATACAAAAAGAATGCTCATATTTTTTTGTGTTTCGTTGTAACTCATTAATTTTTATTTAAATCGTGATATTAGCTTAATAATTTTTTCACCTTTTATATAAATATCAATAAAATGATAATCATCAAAATTTTAATTTAAATCATTGGTTGAACACTATGATTGGTAGTGTTTCGAAGGCTTTGAGACATGTGATCCTATTCCTCAATTCATTTGAAACTTCACAAAAAAGTGAAAATTTATGGGCTAAAAGTTAAGTATTCGTACTTAATTAAAACATTATATACCATTGCATTGTTTGCATATTTAAAAAAGCCAGTACAGTGGGGGGGGGGGACATAGTGGGGACGGAGAGGTCACAGGTCTAGACGTTTTATTATAACTGAAAGTGATAAAATCAACTTTTAAATAAACGCTTCGATGCGAACCTGTGGCTAGTATGTTCAAACCTGTTATAGCGGTTTAGAAGATATCGTGGGACCAGCAATAATGTACTTAAAATTTAATACTTAGTCTTGTGCAGGTTGGATACGATAAGGGTTGATCGTCTGTCTATAAAAATGTACACCGTAATTAACCGTATAATGACAATATTTTCATTACCTGTCGGGGAAAAGAGTTTATGATATTTTTTTGGTCTGTTAATGTTTATCGATGTGTTTGAAGAATTATTCATAAAAATTTGGAACTTTTTCGACTATTTTTAAAAAAGTTATAGAGCATTGTAACTTTAAGTTGAAAAATTTGTATATTTTTTGGGTGTTTTTCTCAATTTTGATGGGGAAGGGGTGACTTTTTTTAAATTTTTGATTTTGTAAAGTACCTTCCAGGTATGATTTCTGATCTAAAGAGTTGTTACACGAAGAAATCGGTTCAGCGGTTTACGAGATATCGTGGGTACAGATAAAAAAAAAAACATCATTGTTAAAACAATACCTTCTCAGCTCCGCACCGAAGCTAAAAAAATTTTAATTTTGCACTATTAATACAACTAGTATATTGTAATCATTCTTAAATAATTTATTTATGCATAAATCATGACATTTATTATTTTTTATTTTTTATTTACCATTGGTTTTTCTAAAAATAATTGTACTGTTTATTTAGATGTTAAAAGTATATAATTAAAAAAACTACTTACACGCTACTGCATACTTATCAGTAGTTAATACAACCAAAGAAGTAACTTATATTGTCGTTGTACGGTTTCTGAACAATCGATACTTAATTGTTTCCTTTACTAAAAACTAATTGATGAGATGTAATGTGCATTCGACACTGGTTCTCGTCGAGCAGCAAGAATACATGTACAAGTCTAAACCAGCTACATTGTTCAAATATTGACTTTTATAGAGCACATGCGCTGCGATATTGTTTTTGACGATCAAATGTTTGATGGTACAATTATAGAACAGAAAACAATTTATTTTACAAGTAACACTTGTACAACTAACCAAAGTCGAAAAAAAACCAGACGTAGTCTACGAACGTGGCCGTGCGTAGCTGTGTGTTAAACATGATCATGTTGTACCGTACATTTTCGTCGATAATAATAATTCTACTCTTAAAGGTGCCTACTGGAAGGTCCGTACCACCCGTCAGACCGTTTGACACGGGCTACCCGTATACTGCCATAGGAGACACAGATAATCGCGAAGAAGACTTGAGATGTGCATACTTGATTAGCGGTCTGGGGCACATGCGGTTGACCAGATTGCAATTGGCGCATCCTTTAGCCCAAACCATTCCGACCATAACCAACATAAAGTCTTACGATTGGGTCATAAGAGATCAATTGGCTACCCTGTACGAACTGCAGAGCCCACGTTTCGGTGCTCTGTGGCTTGTACTGTTGTACATCAGCAATGTGAAAAGGTACGAGGCTGGATTGTTCAATTCGGGATACACTAGAGAAGAAACGCACATGAAAGTCCTGAGCACTCACGATTACGTGATCGGCAAATTGCAATCCGACGTCAGTGGATGTCGCGAAGGCAATCGATTCGGCCAAAACCATTTGCCGTTTACCCCCCGGCAGATGTCCAACCCGGGAACAATATCACACCTGATAGAGAGCAACAAAAAACAAGCCAGGAGTTTGCTAGTATTTAACCGTGACAATTGGCAGGTGACGTTCGATCATTACCACGATTTTAAAGAGAAAAATTTTTACATGTACGATTTCGGCACGATCCCGGACAACGTGGTCCCTTTTATGACACGGTATAACGTGAAAATGGACTGGTCAAACACCGGTGCTCGTTTACAAGCTACTTGGATCGATGCACGAGACCTCGATTGGACCACGAACAATCTCCAGCCGATCAAACTATACTACACGACGGTCTACGACTTCATCAAGGTGATATTTTTACGTCTTACGGCCAAACATCTTTTGTACTTGGCAGCGGTCGAGGTTCCACACCGACTTACCTTTGTGCAAGAATGGTTTGTCCTGCTTCAGGAATTCGCAAACATATTCGTCTTCGTCAACGACACTCACATCGCATACTTGCTGGACGCATTCAGTCCGGAATTGATCATCCGCCAGAACAATATCGAAAATCTCATAGAATATCTCAAAGAGGCGGTTTCGAGGACTTCGGATTTACTCGGTTGTACAGCGATTGAGCCACTGACTATCACCGACGATATACCGTTGCTGCCACGCGGTACTTTCATTCCGAACACTGATCATAACCGTTTGCGCATCCGAATGCATTCAATGCCGATTGCACGTATCAGTCTGATGAACGCTTACGACTTTATGGACCGTGTCAAAATGGTATTTAGGAGCATCAATTTCGAGGTCACTAAGTTGCTTGTGGACTATATCGACGAACTAAACGCGTTCAGACTATTTTGAAGATACTAGCTGTTCACTTATGTTACTCTTAGCTTCGTTGAAATTATACAATTACAAAATTATGTGTTTGTAGTTTTATCCAATAAATATGTTGTATGTACAGGGTGCTTTCTGAAAAGGCTAAAATAGCTAAAAAAAAGCCTTGCTAAAGATCGTGATCAAAAAGATGAATCAATCAGAATTATTATTATGCTTCAAAAATAGAGGTAAACAATTAAATAATAACCACTTCCTCTCATCTTTGGCTTGTCTCAAGATCTATGGCTGAGCCTGTTAGGTTCAAGCACCAACTAAGACACTAAGGACTGGAAACTAATGGGAAGTCGGGTGACGGGATTGTGGTAATGAAATGTATAATACAATTTAGCGACTGTGGCGCGCTCTAGTAGAACAAATACCGAGCATTAGGTATCAGTTGCAGTGAGCCGATGGCCTGATTATAAAACATGGTGTTCGATGGAATATTTTGTTTCCCAGATAGATCGCACCACAGTCGCTTAATTAGTATTTGTTATATTATGTTTCAAGACCGCATAATGGACGACTGTCTTCAGTCCTCAGTGTCTTAGTTGTAATCTTAGTGGTATGTGGCTTGAAAAATGTGAAATTTAAATAGCGTTTTTTATTATTATTATTAATGTATTTACGGACAACTTCATTTACAATAATATGTACAACGAGAAAAACAAAATTATGGCGTCACATGGCTGAAAATAAAATCAGTGTGACCACAGGTTCGAGCATAAAATTTCATAATAATTTCTCAGATTAGATATTAAGTACACTTGGTAACTTTTTATCACGACTATTATGTTCTTGGGCTGGTTACACCAAAGATATTTGCTGGTTTCCACGACCCGGCCCTGTTGCACTCTGTGTTGGGGAAAAAAGAAAGAAGTGGATTAGCAACAGAAAACAGACTTGACAAAAGTAAATTTTTGTTGTTGTTTAAGCAAAAAGTATATTGACTAATATAAAAATTATTAGTTTCCAGAGGTAACAACCGATGAAGTTTGTATTTTTAAATAAGAAAATGTAACAATAGCAACAGAGATAACCAAGACTTCAGGTTTCTTCTGTGTCGAACAAATGGCAATTTAATGTTAAACGTTCGGACAACTTAACTTTACTGAACACTTCTAAAGTGTGTGATGGTAAAACATTGAAGTGCGTACTATAAGGTAAGGGCAATATGAAGTACATAATTTAGAAAATACGAATAATACTTGGATAAGTAATTTTAAATTAGTTTGGCGAGCTAAGTGTCTCGGTTGAAGAAAATTAAATGAGCCTGATACTCTACCTCTAGGGTGGTTTGGAAAATAGTATAATATTGTTATTGCACACCAATCATACAAGTACAAAATCTAACCGTAGTGTAGCCAATTAATAATTGAATAAGTTCAGCTCTTGGTGTTAGACAACATCATCAAATAATAACTATGTATGTTTTATTGATTTTATTTTTTCCATTGTTTTGTTTAATTTTACTAATTTTCATAAAACCGAGCAGATATATATTTATGTACCTAATGAGTAATGAAACTGTGTAATCTTGGCGATTCACAATGTGAGTAGTATTGTCTACTGTATAATGTATTAAAAATAATTGTCTACCGTTTTCAATTTGTTGTTGTTTTGTTCCACAATTGTTTTATTCAATTACATAACCATTTGGTTAAACTACTTTAAACGGGTGTTTTATCAAATATATGCAATGTAAATGCGTTTTTTATGCGTCTTGAAGTAACAATAGAATTTTTATGAGTGTCAAAAACAATGTCGTTAGAGTATATTTTAATTGTTTTTTTTTCTTATCGTTTTGGACGGTATTCCTGTATTTTTAAATCATATTTTATACAGTAATATTTCAAATGCTGTTGGACATTGTGTTGGTTTGTATCCGGAACGGAAGTAAATGTGTGTTCTATGCGAAAATTGATAAACAAAAAAAGATAATGTCGTCAAAGCCGGAGCAGTATGCCTATAGAAAATTGCCAAATAATCAGCCGGTTTCACCAACTATTATTAAATACACTTAACATAATCTTAGTTAACAATTCGTTAAAATTTAACATCCGGTTAAATTAAGTAAGTTTCATCATAACATTATTATCATTAGATTCTATTTGTTAGGTTAACGAAATGTTACTTGGGTTACCAAAGTGGTTACCTTGATTCCAACGTTCTCATTAGTTATCACGAAATGTGATAACCGATAAGTGATAATATTATAATTGTATTGTTAAAAAATATAATCAACAATAACTTAAATCCTTAAGAAATGTCGGTGGAATCGTTTGATCATTTTCTAGGTAGCTTCTTGTTCCAACCAAACGATAATGCTTTGTTTTTAGCTCGTGTACTACAATGTATAGTTCTTATTGTTACGCGCAAGCAGTTAATATTATTATTCATTTATTCGAGAATAATAATAATAATATTAAAAAAAAGGAATAATCTCACATTTTGTCAGTCCGGAATATACAATCGTATCACACACAGATAACGACGACATGAGACTTCCGTTGTCTGGTTCGATTTTTTTATTTGTTTTATTCAATATCCACCCAACGGTCGCCAAACAAACATGAAGCTGACAAAGACTATCAAATACTTTAAGGTAACCGTTTTTTTATTATTATTATTATTTATTATTTACAAAATTGTTATTATATTTTTAATAATTTAATTTAATTTTACTAAAGCAACTATTATTGTAAAAAAAAAATATCACAAATCTAATAGCTAAATAATAGTAATGGGGAAAAAACAAAAACCTAACTATGGGATATTTTTCGAAAAATGTATTTAATTATTACAAAAAATTTAAAAAATTTAAAAAACTTATTTCACTTTAAAATGGAATGCTATAATAATACACTAAAATATAGTTCCAATCGATTTTCCTTTATTTTCATTTCATGTTTTTACCGTGGCTTTTTTCTAGATTCCAAAACAAGCTTACAGGGAGTTTATCTGGTAGTTAGGAAACAAGGTTTTTTTAAATAAACAACTTCTAACTATACTAATTTTTTATTTAATCGATTTAGTATTTTTTTTTTTTAGTAATTTTTTTAGCAACAGTAAGGTCTGACAGCTGTTATTTAGTGAAATTAATTGGAGAGGGGGGGGGCAGGTGGTAATATAAAATACTGGTTTTACCTTCCTCCCCAGTTACAAAAAAAAATGTAGTTAAAAATATTGAATTTTGCTAAATATATTTTTATAATAAATAATAGGCCATGTGGCGGTCTATTCGTGTCTAATACACTATTGTGTTGCGTTTCAGTTGAACGCTTACCGGTATCGCAGGAGATTGGTATTTGGGTTCATTGTTGTGGTGTTAGTTTGCACGCTGATGGCTAGACACAAAAATAAGGTGAAGTTTGTCAGCTCTGAAATGATCGAAGCCCAGCCACAGGACGTCTGGGAATACGTGTCAGATTTCTCCAACATGATGACGTTAAATCCCACCATGTAAGTGTATAGTTATGACCCAGACAATAATGTCTTAGACGATAATCCTAGACATCTTAAAATTCGTGCATTAGATTACTAATGTAAGACTAAATATGATAACATGTGTTAAAATCTTATCAACTTGAGCTTTTTAAAAGGTTTTTAATAACTTTAACTTAATTTAAAAATTCCAAAATCTTAGTCTTTATAGTGTTTTAACACATAAGAGACTGTTGGGGTTATAATATTATTGGAAAACATATAAAAATACTCTATAGTTAATTAAATGTTTAAGGTTTAAAAAATAATATTTAAGTAAAGTGATGTATAATCTATTATATAGGATATTGTCCAATGTTCATTTATAATATAATTGTCTTCCCCTCCACCCTATTTTTCTGTTAAAAAACAATCACTATTAATTGGGGTTTTTTTTGCGAAATTTACCTCCACAAATAAGCGTATTAAAGCTTACTCGTTAAACCAACATTAAAACATACAATGAGGTGTAATTAAACAAGAAAAAAAATTCAAATGCCACTACCTGCAATTAAAGTTGTGGTGTTGGCTTAAAACTAAATAATTGCTATAATTGAGGCACTCAACGTTGAGCGCAATAGTTGCCTAACCAACAAATAAAAATACAAATTTAAAGTTTATTATAAAATTGAACTTAATTCGATTTATTCGATCTAGTTTTCATTAATTAAATTACTAATTAATCATTTTTACTAATTAAATAATGATTTTTTGATTAAATTAAATTAAATTAGTTATACTTTTATTATTTTCATAAAATAAGTTAATATTATTAGTTTGACAATTTTAAATTTATGTTAGTTCGTTAGACGTTGTATATTTCCAGAAAGTGTACTTTACAGGGCGTTCCAGCATAAAAAATAAGTAAAAGGAGGGGGGGGGGCAAATAAGCGTTTTAATTTTTTCGATAGGTAAGTAAAATATCATAGGTTTCGACAGTTAAGTGAAAAAGTAATAACTTAAAAAAAAAAAACGATTCCCTGTTATTTAGTGCAAAAAGCTCACCTTAAATTAGGGTTCACATCATTTTCAGCCCGTTTCGGCCCCTAACTCAAAATGTATTATCTCTTATTATTAATGTCTTATCATTTATCTCTAATCTATTATCGTTTATCTCTTATCAATTGTCTCTCAGTATTTATGTCTTTTAATTTATTTCTTATCTCGTATCTCTTATCATTTTTTGAGTTAGGGGTATCTATACAGAAAATATACTTTACATATTATATGCTAAAATAATTTTAAATATTGCATTATCTTATTGGAGGTATATTACTCTTTTTTTTATAAAATATTATATCATGGCACTAATTGTTAAAGATGTAAACAAACCAACCGATTTTTAATATTTTTTTTTTTTTAAACAATTTGTTTAACTTTACACATATATAGACTAAACATGATGGAAAGTTATTCTTGTTAATTTTTTTGTAAGACTTGGCAGTATTAACGATTTTGTTTGGAATAGGGAAATTTAAAAACTAAACTAACATGCGAATATTATATGCGTGACAGAGTCTAACTTGGCTAGCCAATGTTTTCAATAACATTGTGATTTTATACTGTAATAGCTATTGGGTATAGTTTACAAATGATTGCTGAACTCAAGAAGAAACTAAAAACGTACGTGTCTAAAGAAAACAGACATGTATTTTTTTAGTATAAAATATTTATGGAGATTGAACGGAAAAGTTTGAAACGAAGTTTTAACTTCTAACAAATGGACAAGCATTAAGAATTTTTGTCGTCATTTTCTTTGAACTCAAAGTGCCCTTATCGAGGGTTTTTGTTTAAATATTTGAATTTAACTTATTGTCGTATTTTTCATTTTTCAATAACTACAGTACTAGAATTATTATAAGAAATGCGTTTTCCTCCATTTTTATTAATGGCGACCTCACCAAACGATTTTTCCATAATGTCATTACGGTCTAGTGCACTTTCTTGGTAATTTTTCGAGTCAACAGTAATTTGTTCATAAAATAAAACTGTAATACGTTTTTTTTCTGGTAAAATTTTAGCAACAAAAATGTACACAAAACATTAAATGGAAATGTGGATGTTCAACTGCGCTTCGCATGAAAACATTTTGCTAAATTATATTGTGTTTTTTTTCCGTTTAATATCCACGATTGAATTGATAAAATGATAATTTTTAATTTTAATTTAAGGAATTTTTTTTAAAAGTTGTAAAATTGGGCCTTTGTTCTAATCAAACCATTAAAAAAAAAGAAAGTTTATTTAATAAAAAAAAAATACACTTGTTCAATATCATAAACAATATTAAATGAACATGCTTAAAAAAGCAAAAGTGCCATAAAAAAAAAAAACAGTATTAACTTATTGTTATATATTGTTGAATATTACAATACTTAAAAGTAGTCATCACAGAATTTTACTTTGTAAGACTTGTTTTTTAATTACAGTTGTGCTTTGGTTTTTTGGCCCTTTTTCTATTAATATAAGGGAATGTTTTTTTTAAATTACAGTATGTTTAATATACTCATAAAAATGAGACTTATAAGAAAAAAACGATAATTGCAAAAAACACCGAACTGTTGTCCATGTTCTAATAAGTGCCTAAATTAAGTATAATACGGGCTTGACAATATTATTGTTTTACTTTTTCTTAACTTTATCCCAAAATTTGTAGACAGAATAAAATTAAACTCGACAGCGACCATCTCTTTTGAAAATGTTATTTTGTATTCGTCTCGTTAAAATCAGCTTAAAATGTTGCAAAAAAGGAAAATTATATTATTCATATTATTATACTTAAATAAATCGGTACTCAGGCGGCTCTAAGTGGAATATAAGTACTCGAGTACTTGTTTGTGTGCGTTACAAAAGTAACAGCTCTTATTTGATTTCGTCAACAGTCTATAAAGAATTATTTTTTTTTCCTTTTAGCGAAGCAACCGTGTATTTTAAATTCAAATGCGAAAATCTGTTTTTTATATGTAAATTTATTTATAAAATACTACCAACAATTGTTCAATGCAACGCAAACGTACGTTACATAACGAGAATCTCGGAATCTTACCAACGAAAACAGCTAAGATGAGAATAATTTGATTTTAATTTTAATAAAAAAAAAATAAGATGTTAAGCTTTTTTATTATATCAGATTATGCGATTTTTTTTCAACGATTGACGCTTTACTGCAGTAAGAATACACCTAATGTTATTTGTGTTATGTTTTTTTTACAGAGCGGTCATTATATGATAGCTTTGGATTATGTTAGACGTCTAGCTTTTGGTCAGGTCAGGATTGGTGAAAATCCCAAGTCTTTTTGTGTCCAATTTGTGTTGACTTTGGGAAATCAATATCTGTATTTTTAATTATAAACTTATACCTAACCAGAAGTGTAGTAAAATGTGTAGAAACAATAAATTAATCTTAAGAGTACGTCATACCCTCATTTATTAAGGCGTTAAGTATAGGCGATTTTTTAAATTAATAAGTACAGTAATTAGGACTATTTTTTTTTTTTTTTGGTGGTATTATTGTTAGTTTATATTCGACCGTGTCCAGCAACGTCGCCGTGGTCGCATAGATAGCGTGTAGATACGGTTGTAAGTAAACAGGGATATAACCATTCCCAAACCCTGTATAATATAATAAATTATTATCACCATCGGTAAACGAATGCAGTACAATACTGGGTTTTCAGAAATCGCTATAACCACAGATTATTAAAATATAAAACCAGATAGTGCTTTCCATAGTAAAACAATAGATTTTCAAATAACGATTTTTTATTGGTCACAAACTATAGCTGTAGGGACAAATTATAGTGCCGAAAATATTTTACAAACTATTTATAATGTTATCGTATACTGATAAGAATTACTGATAACAAGTATTAATAACAAGTAGTCGATTAACGAAGATTGTGGTAATAACGTTAAAGATGTTCGATAAACTGTCTTGGGTCACACTGGCTTGAGAGTATAAAAGTTTGCTTACATTTTACATTACCTATTTTTGTAGTGCACTATCTTGTTTTATTTAATTTGTGCTGAAAAGTCCGAAAATGATAAAATAAGCATTCAATATGTTTGTATTAACTCACACAAGGCGATTTATTAAGGTCAAAGTGTATTTCCCCCCTTGTTATTAATTAAAAAAAAAGTTTGGCTACAGATTTTTGATAAAATATTACATGTTATGGCCTCACACTAAGTCTACTTTCAGTCTAATTTGCAGACCGAATTATATTTTTTATTTATAATAAAGACAAATTTACAATTAGTACACACAAAAAAAATAAGAAGAAAAACTCAATTTTTGGTACGCATTGCAAGAAAAGTTTATGAACTACTTTAAACTTGAATATGTTTTGTGGCCAGTTCGAAATTTACTAGCAATTTTCAGTAAAATCAAAATTTGTTTCGTTAAAAAATTATTTAACGTTATTTATTTATTTATTTTATTTGATTTCTTCACTCGTTCCTCAACAAGGAGAAACGTTTTAATCGTGTGGAATGCTCAGTTAAGATTAGGAGCTGGTGGGTGCCATAAAATATACTTATAATTCATATGTTTCCCTGTAGAAGAAAAATAGTTTTTTTATGTGTTCCTATACATTGGAAAAGTCCTCGAGTCCTTGGGGGCCTGTTTTTTTTTTAAAAAAATCGTTTGGAGAAAAAGGAAATTTTTTAAATCTAGTAAAAAAGTAAATAAATCGATGAAAGCATAAAACTATGTTTCAATGGATCAATTTGTTATCTTACCGAAAAGTGTTTTACACATTTTAAACTGATCAGTGTATTATTACAGGTCCATGATATCTAAAATTTATACCTCGAATGGCAAAACCCTTGATTTTACAAGAGATGCGTTTTTCTTAAAGGTCGACCTTGGCAGTTATACACAATTGTATGAGGTGTTTATACATATTTTTTTTTTTGTTCGTAATGAGATTATGGCTTCGACAGCTAGGCCTATAATACATATTATTTTTACTGTGACGGATGCTTTAACGTTTTAATTTTAGAGTTTAGCCATCTATGTAATTAAGAAAATACTAATAATTTGCTTAAAACGATCCGTTTTTGGGTATTTTCATTACCCATTTTAGATAATTTTTATAAAAATTATACTAACGTTTGTTTTTTTCTTTATGTGTCATTTAAGCAAGAAATTTACCATCACTCACGAAGCGGCCAATTTCAAAGAATGGAACTACACGGTGGAATACGAAGAACACTTGTCTCAGATTCCGTTCGTGACCAACAAAATCGTTGGCGAATTTGTCATCTACAAAATATCGCAATTGCATTACAACATCAATTCGACACACCGAACTTGCTTTTCTAACTTCTTTTGCCGTGAGTACGATAAATGAGGCGTTCAGATGCCAAACCGATTAACTCCACTTTTTTTCAAATTTCTAATAACAGCATGGTTGGATTAAAAAAGTGTAAAATTTTCAGTGGCCGAAATAAATAAGTAGTTGAATTTTTCACCACTAGAGTGCGCTAAGTACATTGGCAATTGTACTTACATACATTGTTTCAAATAACTCTGCCCGTCCTGAAAAATTTCATTAATACAAAAATTAATAATGAAAAATACAATTATTTCAAAGTAATTAGTAACAGGATAATATTATTGGTATACATTTTTATAAAAATTGTTTTTAATTATCAATAATCCAGCAATACATGGATATGTCTTGCAATCTAGTATAACTCTAATATCTTGTTTCTAATCTATTATCTCTAATCCATCATCTCTTTTAATTCAACTCTATTACAACCCATTATTCAAATTGTTAAGTATAATTTTTGGCAGTTATCTCGGTCAACCTGTAATGTAATGCTCGAAATGATTGATGGTCGTACTGATAATCTTGTTCCACTATCTAATATGATATTGTTTACTGCATTAAGGATATTCTTTTGTATGGATTTTACTAAGATTCGTCCTGTGTAAAGCTTATGATAGTTATTGACAACATATTATTATATTTTGTCGTTATGAATAAATGATTTTGATGTGGGACATTGACGCGTTGTCTCCGAATGGTCAAACATGACTTGCTACATATTATTTAATGAGCTGTTTTTTCTGTACTATTTTTTTAAAAATTTTTTTTCATAGTTCATACCGATTCGGAAATGCAGTTTCTGAAGTCTTCCCAGAACAACCGCAGCGGAACCCGGGTGGTGGAGACGATCGAGTACGAATGCCCTTGGGCGTTAACCGGCTTTTGCCTGAACGAGGTCAAGTACCAGAGGAATAAGATATTCGGACAATTGCGGAGGACAGACTTTCCGAAAGACCAGCATTAAACGTTTCAAAGATCACATTATTATTCGTTTCGTGATGTAATTATTAAGCGCGCGCCGATATTTATACTTATTCAGCCGGTTTCACCGACTATTGTTAAATACACTTTTAACACAATGTTAGTTAACAATTCATTTAAATTTAACATCTGGTTGAATGAATAAAGTCTAATTGTGAAGTTAACAAAACGTTAGTTGGGTTACCAAAGCGGTTACCTCGATTCCAACGTTCTCATTGGTTATTCAAATATGTGATAACTGATAAGTGATTGTCAGCCGGTTTTACCAACTATTGTTAAATACACTCTTAACACAATATTAGTTAACAATTCAGTTAAATTTACCATCTGGTTAAAAGAAATAAGTTTCACCATAATATTATTGTTGTTAAATTCTATTTGTTAAGTTACCAAAACGTTAATTGGGTTACCAAAGCGGTTACCTCGATTCCAACGTTTTCATTGGTTATTAAAATATGTGATAACTGACAAGTGATTATATTATTTAATTTGTCAGTTTGTTATTATTTGGAATTTTATTTTACTTTTTTTTAACGTTTCGGTTTGCATAAGTAATTGATATACAATGTTTTAACACATTGTTTAGATGGTCTATACCTTTCTAAAAATAATTTGTCATCAAAGTCGTTAAAATATTTTTTTTCTATTTTGAAGGCCTAAACAAAAAAGTAGGTAGTGATAAGAATTATTTCCATTGTATAACAAATAAATTAAATATAATCAACAATAAGTTAAATTCTCAACCAATGTTGGTGAAACCGGCTGATTTCGGTTTTCTTTTTCCAAAATCTTATACTTAGGTACGCTACTGTAATATGCACAGTAACGCTATATATTATTAAGACGGCGCCGTGCGCTCTCCACCGTTGTGCTGCCCGTTTAATTAATGGCTTTTGATAAAATAACGACTATCGCTGCCTGCTCTCCAGACAGGAACAAAAGAACGAAATTTAAATTGTTAATTTTATGTTTTTCGAGACCTTTTTTTTTATTATAATATTATTGTGACGAATTAATTTTCTTTCGAGTACGCGCCCGGTATGCTACTGTATTAGTATATAAGGAAACAAGAACGGAATAACATTATTATCAAGCGTTTTCTTTTGCTAACCCCCCCCCTACCCCTGCTTGTTATGGCGGCCAAAGAATACAAAACTATTTTTTTTTTTTTTTTAATAAAATATTTCTCGCCGACTCGGATGCAAATGAACCAACCCGATTAATATGGATGTTTGTTATTTTATTGTTCCTGGGGAAAAAAAAAAAAATATATATTACCATCTCTTTAACGAGAATAACTAATATTTTTTTTCTCTTCTGGTTTACAACGGTCGTTTCGAACGACGGAGATTGTATAATAATAATAATATTCTTAATATAATTTTATGAAAAAAAAAAAAACCGTCATATTAAAAGGTTCAACAGACGACGAAATACGACTTGAGAATTATATAATATTATGTGTTTATTTATTTTGTTTTTATTACCACTTACCCGGTGTATGAGTTACGTTTTTATCGATACAAATTTTCATTTTATTTTCATCAATCTGTTCGTTCGCCATGACTTTGTAAAGATATTTCATTTCCTCTTATAATATTTGCATACTATGTCTTGGGTTTTCAAAAATCCAGTATCCCATCAAATTCTTATTTTTGTTCACATTGTCCAAATTTATCAGTTTTGTATTGTACACATTCTAACTAAATTTTTTTTTTTTACTTTATTACTTATTATGTATCAGCCGGAAATTATATTCACAGCTGTTTTGAGTTATATTTATAAATATTTCACGCGTGTCCTTAAAAACTGTTGTTTTTCAAAGACAACTGTTTACTGAAATTTTGAAGAAAAAGAACTTGATTTTTGTACTAGATACATGTAAGTATTCGATACCCAACGATAGAATACTTAAAGATGCAAGTCAGGTATATTTGTCTATGATAATTATCCGACCAAATAGTGTACCTTAATTAATGCACTTAGTGATCTCTGATTTGTGACACGATACACGCGACAGAAAGGGTTAAAAACTAAACTAATTTAGAATGAGTTTCCAGCAAAAAATAAAATCACTTAAGTTAATTGACTCGAACAATTGATTGAAAAATGAATCGAATATAAGTGTATTATTGTGTATGCATTAAGCAGATTTCGTTTGCTAGATATAATACATAAAGGATCAATACGAAAGAACATCTCGGTCCGAATTGAAAGTATAGCAGAATGAATGTACATTGTGTGTTTCAGAAGATATATAGGCCGTTATAGCTCCGGCGTGGCACCATATAACTTATGAAATTATGATACACCCGACGAAATATTGTGTCGCCTTATAGTCACATGTTTCCCTTCGGAGACCCAATAAAAGCACACAAATCATTTCTTAGCACATGGTACGACCCTATTCATTCGTTTAGACCTTCGACTGTCACCGTGGATTCGAAAGCCCAAGGGCCAGCAAAGTTCTGTTATTTTGGATGCCTCTGAAAATGAGATTCGCAATCGCAACTACTATTCTTGTTTGTAATCATTTAAACTACTTCCAGAATGATTCTGAAATGATAAAACAGACCCTATCCGTCATCAGTCACCATCACTACCATGTCAGCTCTTAGACCTAATCAGTGAGTTCTCATCAATGGTCATACTCATCACTGTGGTAATGAGATATAATAACAAAATCTCTGGTCAGCTAACTACGAAAACTATGGCATTTAATTTTCTTATGATTTGTTAAATGTAAGTTTAAATAGGTTAAATAGGTCATTATAAATCTATCGTAGATGGCTGTCAGAACTAATATGCTAAAGTAAAGATCAGCGGTTCGATAACGACCATTAACATGCTGCTGCTAATTTGATTAGAATATAACCCAGTGGTGTATCTATTTAAGATTTTCAATTCGTCTCAAAACCCTGTTGATTGCATAGCATCAATTGGCTTAATCTAGATTCGAGAAGTGCATTTTAACTGAAAAGAATATTACCCGTTCAGTACAGTATCAGTATGTCCTGGTTCCGGTAGTCAAGGCCCAGTGGTGCTTTCTTGTCTAAGTTCTTAAAAGTTTCTTTACCCTCTGTCAAGTGCACGGATTGACTAGAACGGTCACAAACTTGTGGTAATCCCGTTGTGAGATTTGGGGTGTCTTTCAATGAAGTTGTCTGTTACCCGCAAGAGGGTTGGTGAATGGTGTCGTTGTCTTTTGCATTGTCTTTGGAACAAGTCCAAGGCAACTCGGATATCCGTAAGTCAAAATAGCAAATCTAGCAACAACAACTGTGGTCAGTGTGCATTCTGATGCTCACATAGATAACAAAAGAATTTTTTTGTTTATATTATGATTACTAGTATTCGTCTCGCTCCAGAAACCGGAGACTTTAACGATTATGTTAGGTCTCTCTTTCGTTAGGTGTATTAGTTTTGGTCAAACGCTATTATACATTTGCCCCAACAACAGTTTTCTATTTTATCATCATCGTTAGGTCAGGTCAGGTTAGACCGGTTAACAACTAGTAGTAAATGTAATAAATCGACCAAAATCCATGCAAATACCTGGACAAACCCATATAAAAACCAAATGAAAATCGTTAAACTTTATACTAGACAAGCTAAGACATCCCTTAAAACCAATAATCTCATTAGACAACAAAAAAGTGTAGTTTTAGAGCTTAAGATCTAAAAATTAGACAGAAGGTAGTTTTAAGGTGGATTTTTTTTTTTTAAACTGGAAAACCCTCAAAAAAAAGAGGAAAATTATAGTTATAGATTTGTCAATGATATTTATTGTTTTTTTCTACGAGTTATCAAATTTTTGACTGAGTTATCATTATGTTATCATCGCCTAGCCTACAATATGTATCATGGAAAAGTAACGTAGCGTTTTTACTTTCCATGAAATCGGTACACAAAATGGCTGCCTGCCGTGTTATTTCCTCTGTGTATATAGTAGTCTATATGCACATAGCTATCAAATACACTGTTATAATATTATTTATAACGCGAATTTATGTTTTATTCCACTGTAAACGTCGGTTCGTGTAATAACAATAGATAATGCGATATCCCGGACGCACCCGTCGAGACATTATCCACGTGCACAGATACCATCTCTTCCGCTATAGTCGTATGTTAGCTACTACTATAATAATAATAATAATAATAATAATAATAATATGTATGCTGCCTATGAACAGCAGTCAATGTCACCACCGTACCCGTGTCCGGAGGGAGGAAAAAAGAAATCCGGTCGAGCCAACGTTATCCAGATTGTGCGAGTTCCATCCCGAGGGATGTATTTCGTGACATTTATATTGGATTTACCGCCATATCCGACAGGGTTTTTGTTTTTTTTTCTTCTCTGCCGTTCCTATATAAAATAGACAATATACCCATTGAATAATAATATTGTCAATTATCGAACGACTGCGGTCGTTATTCCCGCCGGCCAATCTCGTGGCTATCTAATATATTGCAGCATCCGTTTAGCAACACACATTGCACGCCACTGCAATTAGTCATACCGTCCACGTGGTTTATATAGATAACAATCCAAAGAGGGAGAACTGTCCACCCCAAAAACCCTTCAAAGAAAATCCGTTTTCTGGAAGATAAATTCATATGGGGTAACTAAATGACTAAACTCTTGAGAAAAAAAAATATATAATTTAAATTATTGTAACTCGGCGTTGTATCTTTAAAGATACACAAAATTGAAATAAATATTCCAGGGAAAATATAAAAGTTATATGGACTGTTTTTTTTTGGTTAATGTTCTTTGGAGAGATCATTGATAAACATTTTAGAGAATTTTGCGGGGTATTAAAACAATCGTGATATCGTTTCAAAATCCATGTTATCAGCTATGATATTTTTGACTGATTTTCAATACATTTTATTTACAGTTTAAAACCTAAATCCATTTGATTCGGCTGTTGGAATTACATCATGTATGTCTAAATATTTTATCAGTATTAAAATAAAGCCAATCACTTATTTAATAATTTAAGTATAAAATCTCATGTGTCCTAAAAGATACTGTACACCTAATTTATTGTTTGTATCCAAAAAGATACATATCCCCTTTTTCTTCATTTTCATAGTTGTATCCAAAAAGATACAATGCCCTAATAGTGAAATACTTAAAATTGTATAAATAAATAAATAAATAATTCGATTTATTTAAACTTTTTTGTACTAATAGGTATTTATTATTTTATTACGGTAAATAAAATATTTATTTTTTAAATGCAGGTGCATTTTTGACTTTATTTCTTTTTAAGAAATTACCTAAAAACAGTTTTTTTGAAATAATACAAATAAGTATATTTTTATACATAGTTACAAGAATAATACCTACTCTACGTAAATCATTATATACTATTAAAAATATTTTTTATTTTATTAGGCCACGTAGCAGTGTATCTTTAAAGATACAACTATTAAATTAGTCAATGGGGGGGGGGGTTCTATTTTTAAAGATAGAAGAATATCTATTTATGATAAAAAAAAAATATTAATTTTGATCAAAACGCTAGTTTTTTTACACATAAATAATACTTAAAACTTTTTTTTTTTTTTAATTAACCAAGAAGTTTATAAAAAGATAGAGGTACACAGTTCTAGTGTAGTCTTTGGGCTAATGCGGTGCTAAAAAAGAGTTTGGGAAACCCAAGCCACCCTAGCCCCCCCTCCATTTGTTATACCTATGGATAATTTATCAGTGGAAAAAAAACCAGAGCAAAATATGCACAGTCACACGATTTTAATTTTTGTTTATTTTGTTACTCAAGTAAAAACATTAACACGTTTTAGGAATAATTAAAAGGGTAGTCTTTCTTGTTTTTATCGTAACTTGGCGACTCTGAAACGGTTAAAAAACTAAGAGAGAATATTATAATAACATAATAGCACGGAAATGTTTCAAAAATACAATACATTTTTTATTTTATTCCAACATTATAACAATCATTCTTTACCCGTGGCCATTGTTCGTTCGGCTGTAGCCGAATGCTAATCAAATTCTACACTTTTATTGTAATAATTCAGTTAAGAATACCCGGTCCGAATTCATAATTTTCTTTCAAGAAAAACTATAATATCTTATTAATATTATTATCATTGTTGTTGTACTTTGTTCGGCA